TGCACGTTTTTTGCCGGGATGTGTTTTGGGGTTTTCCCTATAAAAATTTATCCTTTAATGCGCTTTTCTGTTTAAAATCTTCCCCCGCAAACTTTCCCGTGATTTTATATCCGACGTTTTAATTTTTTTTCCCTTTTTAATAAATATAAATGGATTTTAATTATGTTCCTCTTTTTATTCAAAAAAATTATAAAAAATTGACAAGCACTGTAAAAATTTTTGATTTAAATTAATAAAGCCCATTGAGATTTTTAAAAGTTTTTAAAAAACCCCGGTTTCTTTTGCCCAAATTTGAATAAAACATGACTCAAAACTTCAGATTTTATTTTCCCCATTTGTTTTCTTTGTTCATTTTCCCATTCTTTAAATCTTCTTTAAAATTTAGGGATATTTTTTGATATTTTTTTTTTTTTATTTTTTTTCACAAAAACAAAATGGTCAAAACAAGTGCCAAAAAAAATTTTATTTTTATTTTTAAAATTTTTTTATATTTTGATTTTTTAAATTGGAGAAATTTTCAATGTTAAACGGGTTTAAAAACATTAATCATTTGATCTAAAAAACTAGAAATATTTAAAAAATATGCTTAAAAGAAAAAGGGTGTATGCAATGTCAAAGTTTTAAACCTGCTGTAAATATCATTAAAATTTAAATTTTGAGCTTTGATATAAGACCGTCGGTAAACGAATTATTTGTACTGCCATTTTTTTCTGTCAAAGAGGATAGGCATGTGTTCTGTAGCGTGCAATTAAACGATTGTTAAGAAAACAGTTGTTTATTGCAAGCCTATCTGAGAGCAATAAAGGAGTGCCAAATTGGTGTAAACACATTTTTCTGACCCCTCCCCCTCTCTCAGATCATTCGCAATGTATCTGAAATGACAGCTTCTCGAGAGGCTTAAATCATTAGCAGAGAGCTATTCAATCAGTACTTTTTTTTAGATAAACACTTAAGATACAAAGAAGAATCGGGGGGCCTAAATGGGCTCTTTATTTCGTTTATAGGGTGACACCGGTTTCCCCAAAATCCCCAGTTACAAGTTTTTCCGGGAAACGGGTTTAGAGTGATTCAGTTTTAAAACAAGCGAACTTTAAAATTAATAATGTTTAAATTATTGACTTATTATTACCACTGTAGTTACCTAAAAACTGAAAATACTGATAACTGGGTGTTACGTACGGTGGCACACAGGTGACATTTGAGCGTTTTCATTTATCTGCTGCGCACGAGATACTATGTCGTGGCTGGTGCGAACGAGATAATTAAGTGGTTTGCACGAGATACTATGTCGTGACCATGATAACTAAATCTCGTGCGCACAATTTAGTAACTCGTGGCCAGTCCCTCGACATAGCATCTCATGAGCACCACTTAGTAACTCGTCGCCACGACGCACGAGAAAAATAAAAATGACAATTAACAAATTTACACCAGGGCTACTGTATTATGAAGGGTGTTTGTTGCCAAAATGATGATAAACACGACACGTGATAATAAACACGTGCATTTGTGACACGTGAATAATAATGATAATATTTCTGATGGGCCCCCCCTGGCCCCCCATATTTCTTTTAATCTCTCCCCTTGGAGGGGATTAAAATGTTACCGGGGGGAAAACACGTGGGTTGGGGAAAGGGGACAAAAATTTTTTCTTCGAAGAAGCAACCGGGGGCAAAAATTGGCCAAACAGAGGAAAAACATCAAGAAAACAGAAGAATTTAAAAAAAAATGCAAAAGGCTTTTTTAAAATAAAAGGGGCTTTTTAGAATTGAAATGATTTTTCGTAGTTTTAATCATATTCCCTTAGTTTCGCTTGTTAAATAACGTTGATCAGTTAATTAAAAAGTAAAAGGTTTTGATCAATATAAATCAGAAACTGAAGTAGTTTATAAGAAACAGCAATTATCCAACTTTTGACCTATTTTTAGAGGCAGATATTTAACCGCAATTTGTGAAGGAAAGTTAATTGCTCCAAACTCCAAAACACAGAGCATAAATGTTTGGCACGTAGCATCAATTTGTTGATTTCTACAAAAGTTAAATTACTCATGAACCTCGGGCCAAAATTGGCACAGTCCCGGGAGTCACTTGCTTTATGTAGACTAACTAAGGTACAGGAAAACTTATCTTTTTGTTGATAAATATTATGCATACAGCACTGTCTAGTGGAACCTCTATAAAAGTTTTATGAATCATGCACTTAGGGTAGAAAATGCATCTACCTTGAAGATCATATAGTATCATAAGGATAATTAAGAAAAAAAAAATTTCTGACAAAAAATTTCTTGATTGGGTCTCATCCTTATTGAAAGATTATTTTTTGATTACTCAAACAAGTTTACATTTGGGCTTATATTGGCCTGCCTTTGCAGTATTCTTTTGTGATAAACCTGCAAGAAGACTGATGAATACCTGTAACATCTGTGTCATAAAACATTTCAGAGGAAGACTATAACCAAGCAGTTACATTTTACACACAAGCTATTGATCTGAATCCAAATGTTGCTGCCTACTATGGTAACAGAAGCTTTGCTTACCTTAGGACAGAGTGTTTTGGATATGCTCTACAAGATGCTACCAAGGCACTGCAGAAAGATCCAAAATACCTTAAGGTATTGTCATGATTTTATTTTTTTGTTATTATTCAGAAGAATTGTGTGCTTGAATTTGTTGTATTTTTCAAAACTTCATTTAAATTATTCACCATAACCTCCAGTTAAATATTTTATAGTATATTAATGCACTCTACAGACTAACTTATTCTTAGTCATGTAGAAATATCTTTAATGACAAATAAAAAAAATCTATTTCAGGCATATTACAGACGTGCATCAGCAAATATGGCCCTAGGAAAATTCAAATTGGCACTCAAAGACTTTGAAGCTGTGAGTATACAATATAAGAAAAGAACTTTTTTAGCCAATTTTAAAATGCTTTGTGAAGAAGGGTCCATAATTTTTTTCTAAAGGTTTTGCTCCTTTTCTTTTGAGCTTTGTCATTTAAATTTGCTGCTTTGAAATATACTGGTAGCATTTTTAGCCTGACTTACTGAAGAATAGGAAGAGCTGTTATTCACACTCGGGCATCAGCATCACACTTTAGTTAAGTTTTTATGTACAAGTTGGTATCTCCAAAATACTGAAGGGAATGGGTTGAAACTTCACACACATATTTGAGAGCAGCATAGTCACTATCCAAGGCCTATAACTCTAGGATGGTTTTTGACAGAATTATGGCCCTTTTTTAATTTAGAAAAGTCTACATTATAATTAAGGCTCATGTTTTAATATCAAGCACTGAGAATAGTTTAGAGTAGTTCTACAGCTCTTGTTATTTAACCAGAAAGATTAACATCAATTTAAATATTATCACTCACATCTTTTGAATATTTGGACTTATTGTAATATTTTTTAAAATGATATGCTGTGAAACTAAGGATAAATTGCATCTGACCTTAGAAATGCTTTGACTACAAAAGGAAACAGAAGGTAATAACGGTATTTTTCTGTTCTTGTGGGTGAGTCATTATTTGGCATTCACATTATATTAGATACATTTAAATTAAGATAATTATTGATAGAATATTGAAATAATGGTTCTTATTTAGTTCAAGTGATATTAATGTGTCTGTTACTGGGAGTGGATGAGAGGTTAAGGTGATTGACTTCAAATCACTAGCCCTTTACTGCTGTGGGTTTTGAAACCTGCCAGTACACAGAATTCTTTCATGTAAGAAATTGTCAGAAGGCTAGCTTACACATGTTCAGTATCTGTATTTGGATGCAGTTTTATAATTGAAATAATGATCAAACAGAAATCTGATGTTTTCCTCTATCAGTGAAAACAAGGAAGAAGCCTTAAGATTTAAGTGTCTATTCACTTAAGCCATTTGAAAAAAAAAAATCTATAATTGCACTGTAATATATTCAAGAAAAATTCTCATTGTGTAGGTTGTAAAAGTGAGACCAAATGATAAAGATGCCAAGGCTAAATACACAGAATGTAATAAGATAGTGAAGATGAATGCCTTTGCTAAAGCTATAGCCGTCAACGACACCAAATCTGTGGCAGAAAGTCTAGATCTAGAAAGCATGAGTATGTATTCATTTACTTTTATACATCTTCAACAAAGTTCTTATTGTAAATAAAATGGTATATAATAATTCTAAAAAATCAATACTTGGCTTGAGATTATTTTATTTGTATCACTAGTTAGAAATATTCTTTTATAGGTTATATGACCATGAGTGTATATGGTTTAAGCTTATATGACCCTTGCCACAAGATGAGGGTTATATAGCATACAACCATTGACACATGGTCATATATAATCTGTCAAAAGGAATTGATGATACTTTGAAAGTGTTGTCTTTGGGGTAAATTGAAAATAATTTATAATGTTGCAGCAGCTGTGTATGTAATAATTAATTATATTAACCTGACAGTTGTCTGAATAAAATTAACATTACAAACAATATTATACAAGGAAGCAAAGGGCAGGGGGCCGCTTTGAAGGTCCGTGCTTCATCTTGTCTGACTCTAGACTAGCTGTTTATATTTGAAAGGAACATAATTTAAATAGAAAAATATATACATACCTATTAATGAACTTTTCAGTGTCATTTGTTGTTCATAGGTAGCTTGATGATAATCGGTGAACTATTCCAAATACAAAACAATCTTAGAAAGGGTGCTTAGTAATATAAAATGTTACACTAATTGGATAAAGAAGTAACACATCATGTTTTCAGCATTTTATGTATCAGTTTCAAGTTCATATTTATTGAAATCCATCAGAATGATTTTAAATAAGTCACATCATTTATATAAAACATATATTTACATCTCTATTCATCATTAAATGACTATTCGTCAACATGCTTATATCTGTATGAAGCCAAATGCAATGTTCAACTGCTGTAAAGATGCTTTAAAAATTGTGATATTCAAATTTTATTAAATTTTAAGTTTATGTTTTTATGATTTACAGCTATAGAAGATGAATACAAGGGACCAAGGCTTGAAAATGGGAATGTGACACTTTCTTTTGTTCAGGAGTTGATGGACACTTTCAAAGATCAGAAAAAACTACACCGCAAATATGCCTATCAGGTTCTTATATACATGTTTGCAGTTTTTTTTAATGAATCATATTGGCCCTTTATCAAAGTTTAAAGCTTTTATTGGATGCTTTGAAAAAAAATTACTTCAGTGAATTGTCCACACCATCAAGAAAATTGATTTTAGATATTAATCAAATTATGGGATAATTTGAAAAGTTATTGAATTTAGAAACCAATTGAGATAAATTACCATATTTATTGCGCAAAACAACAAACTTTTAGAAAAATAAAAAATTGAGTTTGATATCTGTTTTCTACTCCTTATCATCTCTAAATATTTTTATGGTCAATATTGCTGTTTGTCAAATTAGACTTAGCTGCTACTTTAATGTATGAATATAACCAGTTTACTTAAGATAACCTTCTGATTACTTTTTTTACAATATATATTTTTGATTGATGATGTTGAACAACTTAGATTTAACAAGCAAAACTTTTTATAATGAAATAGTTTTTTATTCCCTTGTTAATGTTATTCACATATTATTCTTTTAGTTTAGTACTTTTTATTGGGATTTCAGTATGAAAATACTAAAAACTGAGCAACCAGCATCTTCTAATGTTATAAATGTAGGTTGCCTGGCTGTATTGATAGCAAGGTATCACTGCTGGCATTGAAAAGATTTATGACAGCTACTTATACATTATATTTCAGATATTATTGAATGTATGTAAATTGTTCCAAGAACAGCCGTCATTAGTAGATATAACAGTGCCTGAGGTAACGTGTACCTTAATTTATATCTTATCCTTCTAATATTTTGTCTTAATTCAATGCATATTATATATTGTCTTATTTTTACAAATAAATTGATAAATAATGATAAATAAAAGAGGGTCCTACATATTACCGGACAATCAGTTTACCGGACAAAAGCTATTCCTGCCAAATAGTTTTTTATTTTTTGCTTTGATTCAAAAATCATACAGTCTGAATCGTACACACACTTTCTATTTCAAAGAAGATAACAACAAAACCACTCCCAGGTAATTAGTGTTGATTCCGTTCTTTATCTACAAACATGCCCTTTTGTTTACTAGGTATTTCATGACCTGGTCATGCTGGGGGAATAATCTGTTCTGCGCAGGCCCGAATATGGAGACCCTTAATGGGTAATTTTAGATAGGTTTTACTTTTAATTCTTCTCATCGTTATTTCAGGAGACAATTGTAATATATTTTTATGATTAAAAAAATTTAAATTTAGTCCAAACAGTATCTCGATGTTGTCGTTTACAAAGAAATGCAAATTAAAAGCCATATAAGGAAACGGGTTACGCCCATGGGAGAAAACTCTACATGAAATTTAAATCAAATGATTTTATGGCTTTTGTAACATGCTACATGATGACCAAAAGGAAACTGTATGACAAAGAACAGAATTCGATTTGAACATCAAATCGTTTCATACGTTAAAGATTCATGAAGAATCACTACGTTAATTGAGTTAATAGTGTTAATTTCAGTTATACCCCATGTATTGGCCTTTCGTAAAAAGCGTAGCTGCCGTGTCTAGTTTTAGAGACATACTAGTTTTTTTCCAATATCTTAACCTTGTCTTTCAATAGTCGTCGTTTCCTTGCTGATTCTTTAAAGATTAATTTCAATTCACGACTTCAAAAATTTTTGAAACGCAATGTACGGTAAATTGAGCTGTCTACACGATTTTTTTCTCTCTTATAATACCCTACTTTAAAGACACATCTCTACGGTCACATGTTTAATTTCATTTTGTTAAAGTAATGTTTATTTGTATTGATAACCCAAAATTATTTAGGTAAAATTCCATTCTTTTTTATTGTTTAAAAAAAAAGTTACAGCGAAAAAACATCATATTTGTCCGGTAATATGTAGGATCCTTTGTTTTCAACAAATATGGCTCAATAAGTCAGAGAACCCAATGTGCAGACATTGTCAAAATTTGCACAATATGACACTAATTACATGTTGTATGATGTTACCTATGACATGAAAGTCTTTCTCTGTTATGCAATCTTATTTGCTTTGTCTTTGAAGGTGTAAAATGTTAACCGAAATTCTGTATCTTCCTTAGTTTCAAACTTTTGCATTCTGACTTAACATTTAACTGATATTTTACTATGTCTCGTCAAAAATGCAACATCAGATAAAAACAAACAGTTAAAGCACATGTGTATTTGGCTGCCATTTCACCTCACCAGTGACATTTATGTTAACAAAGACTTGTCAATGCAAAATGTCAGAGCACTTAATTTTAATAACAATAATATTGAAAAGTTATTCTTGTATTTGGCAGTGATGTAATTGTATATAAAATTTCTTTTTATCGCATAATCTTCATGGAATTAAACTGAACTAGTTTTGACTATATTATTTTTCAGGGAGAAAAGTTTACAGTGTGTGGGGATATACACGGGCAGTATTATGATCTCCTAAATATATTCAAACTGAACGGTCTCCCATCTGAATCTAATCCATATGTATCCTTTATTAAAGCCTGTTGATAACCTGTGCGGAATATTTTTAACCAACACAAAGCTGAGTACATGGGAACAGTTCTGGATTATAATTTGACCTTTGATGACATAGGTTTGTCATATTTAAAATGTACATTGAATAAGTATTATTGCTGATTGAAATTAGAAATTTATCATTGAAATATGAATGTGAAGAAGAAGAAACTTTTTTTATTACCGGTACTTTAATTTTGGTTTATTGATCTTACAAGATGTACAATTACCTGTAGTTTGTACTGAAATTTTTGTTATGTTTCAGTCCACCATTGAAACTAGAAATCAAATTTTATTGTGATACATTTGAGAAAATATCAAAATTCCAGGGATATTTATATATCAGTTGTGGCAATAATACATCTTGTAAATTAACTGATTGTGATGAAATTGTTTACAACATTGCCCTAGCATTTTGTTTTAGTTATCATACTTGAAAATATGCAGAGAAACAACTTTCAATATCAATAATTGTACATGTGTACAGATTTATTATGGATAATGTATATCCTTGACAATATGTCAGTTATTTAATGGTGATTTTGTAGATAGAGGATCATTTTCCGTGGAATGTATATTTACATTGTTTTCTCTCAAACTTTTATACCCAAATCACTTTTTCATGGCCAGAGGTAAGATTAAATAATTAAACATTTGTTTTCAATTTTCAATAAATAATCATTGCATTTCTACAATACACTGTATAGATATTACATTATCATAGATACTAGATTGCTAGATATTTCATTTTGGTATATTTAGGAGTCTTATTTTAGTAAGCAAGATTTTGGTGTTAGGTTTGATTAAATGAATTTGTTTAGATAAATGCATTTTATTGATGAAAACACTTGTAATTAAACGTAAATTATTCTTAAAATAAGGAAAAGATTTGGCTTGACATTCTGAATATTTTAAAACAAATGTACACAAACTGTTGTATTTTAGAAACACCTTACTACACATATAACAAGAAAGTACTGTGTGCAGAAATATGAACAGAACTATAAGCATGCATGTTTTTATGTTGCAGGTAATCATGAAAGTTTCACAATGAACCAGATGTATGGTTTTGAGGGAGAAGTGAAGGAAAAATATCCTTTTACATATTGACATCACATTATTGTTTACAGGAGATTTGATACCTTATACTTGTTCAAGGAGATCTTTTAAATTTTCACAAAATTAGATAACTTTTATTTTGTATCGAAGGTTGAAACAAACAAGTTTGTTTATAAACTAATCTTGCTATTCAAAATTTAAGTGCACCAAACATGTTTGTGATGTCATTTATATGTTGCATTTGTTTTCTTAGAATTTTTCAACATGAACCTGAATATAAAATACATTATGAGTCAAGTGGTGATGCTATAATTTTGACTAGTATTCTCCAGTCAATATGAATAGAAAGTTTTTGTAAAATTATGAATCTTTAACAATAGTTCACATATACTTCCAAAATGGCTGATTTATTTACAGAAGTGTTCAACTGGTTACCACTATCTCACTGTATAAACAACAAAATCCTGGTAAGTGTTTATCTGAATTACTACAAAATGTCAGTATGTATATTTAGTAATTATGACAATACTAATAATTTAAAATAGCAGGCAACATGGAATTATATTGTTAATGCATTCGCATTTTAAAAAATGCAAGCACATAGCAAGCTGGATAAAGTTGATCTCTTTTTAATTAATTTTGTTTTGGGAAATATAAGATTCTTGTATATTAGTTTATTTAATGTGGTTAAAGAAGTATTAATATTTACATTCCAGGAATAACCAATATACATGTAGTTTAAATGTGCATGATGTACACCACCAGTGTAAGTGTAATAATACTAGACATATCAACCTCTATATAAAGTACATGTACTATATTGTTACAGGTGATGCATGGTGGATTGTTTAGGGATGAAAATGTCACATTAGATGATATAAGAAAATATGATAGAAATAGACAGCCTCCTGAAGATGGTAATTTTCTTAACATTCTCACTGGTTCAATAACAATTTGAAGAAGTCGTGTTAAATGTAATTATCTATAAATAAGGTTACAGATTTGTGTAGGGCCAAATCTTTGTACAAAGGATGGTGTAAATGTTCTTTTTGATCATTCTTATTGTAGACTTGTTATTAATACAATTCCTCCTTTGCCATTTTAAGCTGACGGCCATTTATCTACTATTTTAATTTTTTCAAACACTTTTGCTTTTTGCCAGTAACAAATATTAGTAATCTTGAATTTATCACAGATAATCTCTCAATATGCTTACATTTTACCTTCTTTGTTTTTCAAAATTTTACATTCTCACTGTTTAATTATCTCCTACTGAATTAAGATACAGTTAATCTTTCTTGTGCAACCATGTATAGTAAGTGTCTATTTGTCTTCAGCTACGAAATGTTTATATTTTAGGTGTGATGTGTGAGTTACTCTGGTCAGATCCTCAACCTCAATGTGGGAGATCTCAAAGTAAACGAGGGGTCGGTACTCAGTTTGGACCAGATGTTACAAAGAGGTTTCTACAGAAGAACAAATTAGACTATGTGATAAGAAGTCATGAAGTAAAGAATGATGGTTATGAAGTTGCTCATGATGGAAAATGTATAACTGTGTTTTCTGCACCAAATTACTGGTATGTGTATTTTATAGATGCCGGAGATAACTGTTTCTTCATTGTTACTTGTGAAGGCATGCAACAGTTTTGCTGTTGTCAGTTAAAATATATTGATGAAAGTCAATTTCAGAGATTCGGAGATTTATCATGAGAGATTTGTTTCTTATTTTAAGATGATTCGAAGCAATAAATATTTGTTAAGTGATCACTTGTCTGATTTTGTCGTGGTTTAAGTACTTTAAGTAATATAAAAAATAATAGGTGAAAATTAAAGATAAATTGTATTTTTAGCTCGACTATTCGCAGAATAATCGAGCTAATGCAGTCACCCATTTGTCGGCGTCGGCGTCCCTGTGGTTAAGTTTTTGTATGTAAGCTGGTATCTCTATAACTACTGAAGTGAATGGATTGAAACTTCACACACTTGTTCTCTGTGATTATCTAAGATGATTGGCACAAGTCCCATAACTCTGATTTGCTTTTTTTCATAATTATGCCCCTTTTTCGACTTAGAAATTCTTGGTTAAGTTTTTGTATGTAAGCTGGTATCTCCTTAACTACTGAAGGGAATGGATTGAAACTTCACACACCTGTTCTCTGTGATTATCTAAGATGATTGGCACAAGTCCCATAACTCTGATTTGCTTTTTTTCATAATTATGCCCCTTTTTCAACTTAGAAATTCTTGGTTAAGTTTTTGTATGAAAGCTGGTATCTCCTTAACTACTGAAGGGAATGGATTGAAACTTCACACACTTGTTCTCTGTGATTATCTAAGATGATTGGCACAAGTCCCATAACTCTGGTTTGCTTTTTTTCATAATTATGCCCCTTTTTCGACTTAGAAATTCTTGGTTAAGTTTTTGTATGTAAGCTGGTATCTCCGTAACTACTGAAGGGAATTGATTGAAACTTCACACACTTGTTCTCTGTGATTATGTAAGATGATTAGCACAAGTCCCATAACTCTAATTTGCTTTTTTACATAATTGTGCCCCTTTTTCGACTTAGAAATTCTTGGTTAAGTTTTTGTATGTAAGCTGGTATCTCCATAACTACTGAAGGGAATGGATTGAAACTTCACACACTTGTTCTCTGTGATTATCTAAGATGATTGGCACAAGTCCCATAACTCTAATTTGCTTTTTTTTACATAATTATGCCCCTTTTTCCACTTAGAAATTCTTGGTTAAGTTTTTGCGTGTAAGCTGGTATCTCCATTACTACTAGAGGGAATGGATTGAAACTTCACACACTTGGTCTCTGTGATTATCTAAGATGATTGGTACAAGTCCCATTACTCTGATTTGCTTTTTTGCATAATTATGCCCCTTTTTCGACTCATGAATTCTTGGTTAAGTTTTTGCATGTAAGCTTGTATCTCCATAACTACTGAAGGGAATGTATTGAAACTTGAAGAGTTTGTACCTTTTCGGACAATTTTATGTATTCATATAGGTAAGCATTATTATACTCAATGAAACACCCTTGTGACAAATTTTCGAATAGTCGAGCGTTACTGTCCTCCGACAGTTCTTGTTTATTTCTTGAATTCAAATGATCATGTATTAAATTTCCTGTAATGGTGTAATGTTTAAAATGATATATAAATAAATGATTGTTAGCTAAGTTATTATTTGTAATTTCAGTGATACTATGGGAAACAAAGGAGCTTTTATAACATTGAAGGGGGAAGATCTCACACCAAAATTTACATCATTTGAAGCTGTTGTAAGTATATAGAATATGTTCTAACAAGAGTGATGTGGTGACAGTTATATCCCCTTGCGGCTGAGGGGTTGCCTTGTAGGGTTGAGGCATCAGATTTACAGCCACCATTTATCTCTGGGTGATCGTAATAGGCGACTAAATGGGTTCAAATTATTGTAGTCTATGTATCTCTTAACTCCAGCAGGTGAGACAGTTTTGACCCATGGTGTTGCTTTAAGTTTGTTAACACCGGAGGTTATCCAAAATCATCTTTTCTGTTTCATTGCTAATGACCTAAACATTTTTGAGGTGTATTACCCGTGTAAATGATGAACTGCACATTTTGGCATACTGAGAATTAATTGATTTAAACTTTGTCATAATTCCTAACAGACAATTGTAAGTGCTTGATATTTAATTCAAGATTTGTGTTAACTTTTTATTTCTTGCAATTTCTTTAATGCTGTTGGAATATTTACATGACTATATATTTCTGCGCTGTAGATTATTTGTTGTATTTTGCATACTTACTACATATTTTTATTGTATATTTCAGCCTCATCCAAATGTTAAACCTATGCAATATGCAAGCTCATTGTTTGGACTCTTTTAATGGAGGATGTATCTTAGTTACAGTGATATTTCTCAACATCAGACCACAATACATCTAACAAATTAACCACCAACAACATGTCTTATTGCAATGTATGAATCATAGTGTTATTAAAATATAAGGAATGTAAATTATTGAAAAAGAAGACTGATTACAACAAACACATACTATAATTTTCTTAAAGTGTATTAAGCTATATATATGCTGCCTATAAATTATCATTTTAAAAAGAATACTTCTAAAATACCTGTATGAAAGGAAATATGTTTGTGTAATTTCCTAAAAAGCAACGGCAGATTCAGGAAATCACTGCTTAACAGTTGAAACCCTATAGCAGCATATTTTGTTTTGAAACATTTTATTCTGTTTACCTATAATATGCATATGTGTTTAATAACTTATTGAACAATTAACGGAGGCATGCCATAATTATGTTACAAGTCTTTAAAGGATAGACCATAAGATTATGGAAACATTGGAAACAATAACATTTATTTATTATATAAAAAATGTTTCATTACATATAGCTTGATACCCCTTTAAATGCCCATCTTTAGCATAAGCATCTAGTTTACTCATAATTAGTGTTCTGAATAGTTGTTCCTTTGTTGTGTTCACTATAATGCTTGAATTAGAAGAAAACTAAGTTCATGTTAATGTTGTCATAATACACTTTTCTCGAGTGTGAGGTGAAAATTTTCACTAAAAGAACTAGATTGATATCTGTCATTAAGTTATTTTGAAAGTCAGTGATTACTGTATGTATGACATGGGGCATTATTTGAAGTAAAGCTTTTATGTATTTCTACTCTGTGTATTCTTTATAAGAAATGTTCGCTCTGACAATCTAATTAAGCTGGAAGCAGTTTGAATCATGACAAAAAAGTTGGATGCAGTAGTGTTATAAAATGATTTTTGTCTTAATCATAACTGAAATGTGGAAATGAAAATAAATATTCTTTTGAGCAGGGAAAAAACACAAATAAGGTTTTACATTTTTTTTTCAAGTACATGTAAAAGTCTTCTTCTGCACTGAAGTTTAGCAACTTTTTGACTTGAAAATATTTTAACAAAACAAACAAACTGTTACAGCCTTTAGAAATGTAAAACTAATTATGATCTTAAGCTATGATTTCAGTATCGTTGTGCCTCTCTGTGTAGTTACAAAGTCAGTAGTATGTCAAAATATCAGAGTTGTTATTGCCATATTAACAACTTGAGTGTTGTTAAACTGTATAAGTAAATATTTCCTCAAGGAAATGTTATTTGAGCCGCGCCATGACAAAACCATGATCAGGATCCATGCTGTTCGCTATCAGTTTCTCTACTTGTTATAGAGTATGTAAGCGAACAGCATGGATGCGGATGCGCAGGCTGGTCTGGATCCATGCTGGTCGCAAACCCATTATGTTGGTTTTGTCATGACGCGGCTTATTTCTGCATGAAATTGAGATGAAAATTTTCAAGTTATGCTAGAAATTTCTTTTCTCAAACAAGCCAGTTAAGTTAGTTAACCATCTTTGATAAATGTCTTTAATGATCAAATTATTTTTGATATTTTTTTTTATACAATTTTACCCCTAAAACTACCTAGTTTTAGATCACATTTATTTGATATTTATCGCCTTGAGTATTTAAATTAGTTGTTTAATTATATGAATAGTGCTGTTTGCTGTGTTTACAATTAGGAAAAACCAACAGACAAGGTTAACACAGTGTACTCTGGTTTTATCTTGGTAATTTAGTGTTTAGAAATGGTACCGGTGTTTTCTACAAAATGTTTCATTTCTTTGTTTGAAGCAGAAATGTTTGAACCAGTAGTTAAATATTGCCCAATCAGGAAGTAAAGCTTTGAATGTTGTGGTTAATAGTCCAGTCTGAATGTCCTGCATCTTATTACTTAATGTTCAACATCTTAATTTTACTTAATATTGATCACATATTTCATATTGATGTCTGATTAAGCTTTTACTTTATTTCAAAATTGATCCTCATTTCCTAATACTTCAATTTTCACTTTAATGCACAAGTTCCTTCAGATATCTACTTGAACAGCTTATGTAAGTTTTTCCTGATTGAGAAGTATGTTAATTAAGTTATATATATATTTTCTACATCAATACACTGTCCACTCAGGTTATACTTTTCATTGAAATCTAGTATTGTAATACACTGGAATTGTTTTTAAACGATAAAACTGGTGTTTATATCTACTAATGTATATTGTTAATGAAATAGAAAACTCACTTGAACTAATAAATTGCCTTTTATAAGTGTTGTTGTTGTTTTTGTTGTAACAGTAGTCTCTAGTTTTAATCACTGGGAACATGTAACAGCTTTTAAGTCAATAAGTCATGGACAACAGAGCTTAAAATAAATACAAAATACTAAACAGGCTTCTAAAAAAGATTTTACTGATGTTTAATATATAATTGCTTAGAGAGCATGCAAAGATCCAGCATAAAATCATTATATTTGATTACACAGAACAATAAGACTACCTGGTACAGTGCCACATCATAGCACTAACATCATAATTACATTCTGTCAATGTTGCACCTTACCAAAGTATCACCTCCATGTATGATACTCTTTTAATGTCAATCAACCTACATATTTGAGACATACACAAATTGTCTTCTGAAATTCTTAGCATATAGGCAAATGGTGATGACAATGTACAGGAATGATCTATGGGTGGTCTCCTTTAAAAATTGCTCAAATGGTTCCTGTCCAGTGAACAAGTTGGCTGCCAGAGCTACGTTAGTAAAACCTTTAAACAACATCTCAACAACTTAGTAGATTTTGATGAAACTTTGCATTAATAATCATTTAAAAGTCCTCAAATGTTTCTGGTTTGTTGAACAAGATTGCGATAAGAGCTTACAGAGAGAAATTATCTTTAAATAACATCTCCTCAGTTACTTGCTAAATTTTGATAATACTCTACAGAAATGATGCTTAAGTGGTATTTTAATAAAAATGTTAAGGTTTGCTTAAAAAAAGAAGTCTTTAAAAGATATCTCAACAACAATCTAGCAGACTGATGAAAAAGCAATGAAAATTCAGTGGTCTTGTCAAACATTGCTCAAATTGTTCAGGCCTGATGAACAAGGAATGTCCAAATAATTAAATCTGGTCAATGTAGACCATATCTTCTGGCGAGTGATTCAGGACCATGATGTTTTTATGCCACCGCAGCATCTGCGATGCGGTGGCATATAGCGATTCACCTGTGTGTGTGTGTGTGTGTTTGTGTGTGTGTGTGTTATATAGATTATATAGTGAACTTAAAAAATCTTCTTGTGAAAAACCACTAGCCCAATTTCAACCAAACTTGGCAGGGTTGATCCTTGGGTGAAGGGGTTCCAAAGTTGTTCAAAGAATTTCATTCCATGCAGAAATCTGGTTGCCATGGCAACCAAAAAGAATTATAAGAATAAATTTAAAAAATCTTCTTGTAAAGACCCAAAAGGCCTAGAGCTTAGATATTTTGCATAAGGCATTGTCTGGTAGACCTCTACCAAGATTGTTCAAATTAAAGCCCTTGGGTCAAAATCGGCCCCGCCCCGGGGGTCATTGATTTTCACTATATGTACATATAGTAAAAACTTAAAAAACCTTCTTGTAAAGACCGAAAAGGCCTAGAGCTTAGATTTTTTGCATAAGGCATTGTCTGGTAGACCTCTACCAAGATTGTTCAAATTATAGCCCTAGGGTCAAAATCAGCCCCGCCCCGTGGCAACCAAAAGGAATTATAAGAATAAATTTAAAAAGTCTTCTTGTAAAGACCCAAAAGGCCTAGAGCTTAGATATTTTGCATAAGGCATTGTCTGGTAGCTACCAAGATTGTTCAAATTATAGCCCTGGGGTCAAAATCGGCCCGCCCCGGGGGTCATTGATATTCACTATATGTACATATAGTAAAAACTTAAAATACCTTCTTGTAAAGACCGAAAAGGCCTAGAGCTTAGATTTTTTGCATAAAGCATTGTCTGGTAGACCTCTACCAAGACTGTTCAAATTATAGCCCTGGGGTCAAAATCGGCCCCGCCCCGGGTCATTGCTTTTCACTATATGTACATATAGTAAAAAACTTAAAATACCTTCTTCCAAAGACCCAAAAGGCCTAGAGCTTAGATATTTTGCATAAGGCATTGTCTGGTAGACCTCTACCCAGACTATTCAAATTATAGCCCTGGGGTCAAAATCGGCCCGCCGGGGGGTCATTAGTTTTCCTTATATGTATCTTCAATATATACTTATAGTAAAAAATCTTATTGTCTTTATTAGAGCTTAAATATTTTTTAAATGATATCATCTATAGGAACTCTACCAAAGTTGTTCAAATTTTGCCTCTAGTGTCAAAATTAGCCCCGCCCAGGGGGCCATAGGCTTTCCTTATATGTAAATATATATATACATATATATATATAGTAAAAAAATAAAAAAATATATTTTTATCTGAAGGTACAAGGCATAGAGCTTCGATGTTTGCTATATAATATCATCTATAGGTCCTATTCCAAAGTTGTTCAAATTATTCCCCTGCTGTCAAAATTGGCCCTGCCCAGGGGCAGTGATTCTCATTATGTACACATAGTAAACACAGAAAATAAAACAAATGTTTTCTGAATGGGAGAAAGCTACAGCTTAGATATTTGACTTGAAATGTTGTTCGGTGGACCTGTATCAAGATTGTTTTGAATGAAACCCTTGGGTCCAAAATTTTGCTTTGCCCAAGGGGACAGTGACCTACTTTCTTGTCCTTTGATGTACAGCAATGAAATTTTGACCATGTGCACAGTTTTAGTTGTAGAATTGAATTTTGATATCAGGTGACCTAGATTTTGATGATGTGACCTACTTTATGTCCTTTGATGTACAGCTATGAAATTTGAACCATGTGCACAGATTAAGATGTAAAGTGAACTTTGATTTCAGCTGACCTAGATTTTGACAAAGTGTCTTACTGTTGTTTGATGTAGTCATGAAATTTAGGCTGTGTGAAATATGACCTTCACCACCAAATTCACTAGACTCGAGTGCATTGATATATTCCTACTCTGATCTTTTATTGAGTTAACAACAGATTTAACCACTAATCTGATAATAAGAATAAGATAGGTCAGGGATCTATGCATTATGACAATCTTCAAAATTGTATAGAAACAAAAAAAAATCTGTTCCAACACTACTATTTAGTGTTGTATTAATGCGGTGGCATAGCATTTTTCTCAAATGCAATCTTGTTTTGTTATTTGACAGATAATGTTAATAGTTAAGCCTGAAATGATATTTAATTTTCTAAAACCATTAGTATACGTATTAGAGAAACTGTAATACAAATCATCTACTTTTAAAGGGAATAAGGAAAAATCCTTGGTTACATCAAAAGTCTTTGTGAATAAAATGTTTCTACTTCTCTACTTAACGGATGTCTTATTCAGCTAAACTTAAGTAATGGTCGAAATTGAATTTCGACGTTTCGTCATGTGACTTTCATCATCATGTGACATCTGATTACAATTCTGCCAAGGGAGGTAATCACTGTGAGGAGTTCGACGGTGACCCTTATTGACCATACAATCATGAGAAATTATGAAAAGGATTTTTTTCCCCATTCTTAGCACTTCCAAGAGGCTGCTGAAAGATTCATTCAGGGTTCCTGTATACAAAGTTAGATGGAGATCTTTTAAATGGTTTATAAATAGATTTTAAGGTTTAACCCATTTAATTATCTTATTTGATAGAGCCATTCAGACTTTTTCAACAGTACTAGTTTTATTATGAAATGTATATGGATAGCAAAAAAGCAAGTTTTAAGTTTATATAACCAGTTAACACCAAGCCATAGCATTAAAAGTGGACTTAAAATAGCTTAAGTTCATGAAATATAAAACAAATTTAATAATTGCTTTACAAAAAATTGCTTTAATTTATATGTTGATCCAAATATTGATCTTGATCTTAAATTTAATCCACATTTTGATCCATTTATTATAGTAATATGTAAAGGTATTCCTAAATTTTATCCTAAATTTAGTGTTTCTTTATAAATCAGCACATTTTTACATTTTGTACCATGTTATTTAAGCCAATCATGCAAGTTTCATACAGCAATGAAAACAACCAAGGATAATTTGATTTTGATGTAGATTTTTTCATAGTGAACACATGGCCTGTAAATATCCCTCATCATAAAAGTTCATACAGAATATTTGGTTTAAGTGAATTAAAAACAAGATGAGAAGGTAATATAGTTACCAATAGTTTATTATTCAGCACTATCCAAGTCATAATTGTATTGCACATAAACATTTAATATTACAGAAATTATAAAAGCAAAAACTTAATAAATACATGTAGCATATCAGGTAACATTGTCCGAGGCATTTCCAATCAATAAATTAATTGTTTCAACTTTTAGTTACACACAATTATACATAATGTAATACCAAAATTCTTAAACATGTTAAAAAAAGGGTGAAGTGCCACTGTACAAATTAACTCTATGGTATTCTTTCTATTCTATCTGTTATGTCCTTACCACAATGAAGTACATGCAAATAACATACAGTTTCAACCAAACTGTAATATTTTCAGTAAAGATATATCTTCCAAAATTAATTATTTCAATGTTAATCATATGTAACATTCTCTGTATCATCACTAATGAAAGATTGCTTACACACAACACTGTAAATATTTTATATATTTTCCTCTGCACTGCCTTAAACATTCATAACTTGGTACATGTAAATACAATCTAGCATCTGACACAGTTCATTCACTTGTATTATATAGATATATAATCATTGACATCATTGTCTCTCACATCAACACAACATACTTTGCATCTTCTAGTTTAAACTACATTGTATAGTTATTTCTCACCAGGTGGCACTTTACCTAGAGGCTGCAAAGATAGAAAATAAATGATTAAAACATCAACTTTACTTACATTTAAAAAGAGTATGTTAGAAGAATTAAAACATATTTGTAACAGAAAGATCATCAAACAATAAATCTGTCAGTGTAGAACTGTTCACTAATAGGGGAGATGTTTAAATGTCTTAGTACTTCAGTCAGTAGAACAAAACAATTTTCTGAGGGTCACAAGCTAAGCTGAAATTGTCTCACCCTTTGACAAATCTATTCTTAGCAACATCACCAATAGGACTCGTTTCAGGCTAAATTATCAACAGGCAATGCTCTCTCACTGTCAGTTACTATCAGTAAATAAGGCACGAATACCTATCATCTAAATTAACATAACAAAATAATAACATAAGTTCACTGTTATTCAAAAAGTAAATGATTTACAGATGAATATTACGTATAATAATAGGAGACGTGTCACGAAAAAACCGACAAAGTGCATTTGCGAAAGCATGGATCAAGACCAGCCAGCGCATCCGCGCAGTCTGATCAGGCTGGTCTGGATCCATGCTGGTCACAAATGCACTATGTTGGTTTTGGCATGTCGTGGTTCATTTATAATGATTTTCATATGGAAATTTTGACTTTGAATAACAAGAGCCGGTTGACCCAGGTGATGCTCCCCGAATAGGTTTTGGACACAGGAAGGTATACCTCTTGTTGTGTCACAGTTATGTCACAGACAAAGTTCAAAGTGTAAAAACAACCCACGACACATTGTCTCAATATGGTGATCATTTTTGTGAATAGTTGTAAATCCGACTTCAAATAACAAAGTTATGCGCCGGACATGATTTTGCTGCATGGTCATGCTGTGACCTTGACCTTCAAGGTAGCGACCCAAATGTTGCAAGCGACACATCATTTCAATATGGTGATCATCACTGTGAAATAGTTGTTAAATCCGACTTCCAGTAACGAAGTTAAGGGCCGGACACGATTTTGCTGCAAGGTCATGCCTTGACCTTGACCTTCAAGGTAGCGACCCAAATGTTGTGCGCGACACAATGTCTCATTGTGGTGATCATTTCTGTGAAATAGTTGTAAAATCCGACTTCAAATAATGGAGTTATGTGCCAGACACAATTTTGCTGCAAGGTGATGCTGTGACCTTGACCTTCAAGGTAGCGAGCCAAATGTTGTGCGCGACATGCCATCTTAAAATGGTGATCATTTCTTTGAATAGTTTAAAAATCTGACTTCAAATAAGGAAGTTATTGGCCAGACCGATTTTGCTGCAAGGTCATGCTGTGACCTTGACCTTCAAGGTAGCGACCCAAATGTTGTGGGTGACACGTCATCTTAATATGATGATCATTTCTGTGAAATACTTTTTAAATCTGACTTCAAATAGCGAAGTTATGGGCCGGACACGATTTTGCTGCAAGGTCATGCTGTGACCTTGACCTTTAAGGAAGAGACCCACATGTTGCGTGAGACACATCGTCTTAATATATTGATCATTTCTGTGAATAATTTTTAAAATCCAACTTCAAATAACAAAGTTATGGACCTGACACGATTTTGCTGCAAGGCCATGCTGTGACCTTGACCTTCAAGGTAGCGACCCAAATGTTGCGCACGACAAGTCATCTCAATATGGTGATCATTTCTTTGAAAAAGTTTTAAAATCCGACTTCAAATAACAAAGTAATGGGCCGGACACGATTTTGCTGCAAGGTCATGCTGTGACCTTGACCTTCAAGGTAGCAACCCAAATGTTACGCGCAACACGTCGTCTCAATATGGTGATCATTTCTGTGAAATATTTTTAAAATCCTAATTCAAAGAATGAACTTATGGACCGGACATGATTTTGCTGCAAGGTCATACTGTGACCTTGACCTTCAAGGTAGCGACCCAAATGTTGCGTGTGACACATCGCCTCAATATGGTGATCATTTCTGTAAAATAGTTTTAAAATCCAACTTCAAATTACAAAGTTATGGGCCGGACACGAATTCGGGCCATACGTACAGACGGACAACCCGACGACTATATGCTCCCCCCGAAATTTTTCGGGAAGCATAAAAAGTTAACTTTATAAACATGTTTTGTAACTAATTCTTAGCTAAACATGAAATTTACCTTGATAAAAATATGAGTTGGTAACATCTTTTGTACAATAGGATCCATTGTTCCCGGATATCTCAACATGTTCAGGTGCATCTTGGGAAGGGCCACATGACCAGCAACCAATGGGAAGAGGTTATATGTCATCTCGTAAGGTTTACCTGGCAACAGTCTAAAGTGTACCTGAAGTAAAGAGAATCTATATTGTCACTATTGTATACATACATTTAATCTTAATACTGTCTTATATTGTAATGTGCATGTCCATTATCTTCCCGCCACTCATACACTTGGAATATTCCATGGTCATTAAACGATAGAACTAGCAATACATGTCTGTGTTATATATGTTACAAGTGCATGCATGTGTGTATACTATAACATAGACCCATAATACAACAGAACTTTACTATTTTCTTACATTTACCCTAACATTAGGTCACAAATTTCTTGTTAAAGAAATACATTAGTCAACCATCAAGTAAGTACATAATTATGTACTTTTGACATATGATGAGATTGAAAGCTTAAAAGTCATTCTTATTTATATTAACAAAATTTCATAATTTATCCATTACATGATATTTCATTTTGTATACAAATATGTACAGTCATTTCTATACAAACCTGTTTGTTTCCAGAGAACATAAAAGAATCACTAGCTTCCATGTTAACCTCCACTTCTTGTGGGTATCCTGTCCGGTTGTGCAGAACATAGCACACAGGTAACAGACACTTCATGCTACCATGGGCAGGAAGTTTGAGCTCCACAGATAGAGGTATGTGTTCTATGGTAACAGTTGGTAGAGAGAAAAGGCTTGTCACTGACGGGTGATCTAAGGTTATACTTTCATCCTTATGTCTGAAATAATTATCACAACATATTAGAAACTACAATCTGATTTTATTTGTAATGCTGTATTGTGTGTTAAAATGGCCTCTTCATTATATTTACTTCATGAATAATTAAAATAAGATATACCCTTTATAGCTCATTGACAATCTAATTGTTTTTCATCAGTTTCAATGTAGATTTAATAATATTGATAATTTTACATGAAAATATTTAAAGTGTGACCTATTTTATTTTTACACAAATATAAACATATGTAAACATATTTTCACTTTATAATACATTCAATCAAAACTTTGTTATTTGATACTGCGAAATATTTATTTTTGGCCACATTTAAATGTGTGTCATTAACTGCTCAAAGGGACAGCATCAGAGTTGTATTTCACGAGTTGCTGGTTTGATCTTTGAGAAAGGCCAAATTTTGCCATAACAATTGAGTCTAACGGTCATTTGTTTCTCACCACTGATTGAGAAATAATGTGAGATTAGTAGTGGGTCACTTGTGGAAATTGTACCCAGTTTTAAAAGGTCTTATCTATGCTGATAAAAAATGTGAAGATAAAATAAAACTTTAACCTTTTCCAATGTAGGACATAGCTTCCAAGTGACACAGATGTTTGTACAGAATTCATCGAGGTCAGACAGAAGCATTCAGCAGCACATTCACTCTTCTTTAAACACACTGAAAATATGAATATTTTATTTTCATAACTAAAACATTTCTTTTAGTATATAAAATACGGTCAAACATTTTGACAAAATACAGAAATTGATGAAATTGTTCAAAGATATTTTTTAACATATCAACAAACAACTGTAACTAAATGTAGTAGAATGACTGGTATTTCACAATCATTCCACAGTTATTTTCTTGGGTTAACAAATCTACTTTGTGTGAAGTTAAAACATGTTTATTCTATATTTACCAAGTTACCCTGTGGCAATATTCAAAGTTTTCATATATCAAATTTTAGCATAATATATCTGCAGAAGTAACAGATTACAAATACCTCCTTGTAACTGTGATTGAGTCATGTCTGCCTTCTCTATACACTGAGACTAAAATATAACAAAAATACGCTCACTAACACATTAAGTTATCTGCTTTCTTTGCAAACATTTTAAAAAGTCAGTATTTTTATTCCCTATATGGCAGTGCCACACAAACATTCATGTCAATTACTCCACAACACAATATATCATCAGATGAAGGTTACTTTCTAGTATTATTTCTACAATATTTTACAAGATGAACATCCTCAACTGTATTTATTTTGCATTTCGTTACAAATCAAAGACATTATTTTCATTTATTTCCTCTTCAAAAGCTTGTACCAGTACCAGCCTTCATAGAAACTTAAAACTTGATCACAGAATTCTGGTCAGCACAGATTTAGACTTCAGTGAACAACTTTACCTAATCTGATGAAATGATCACTGGAGACTGGAGACATGCCTTCAACTAACAAGTTTCTTTAGTAATTAAATTTTTGTTAAATGAATTCACACAAACCATTATAGATTAATTATTGCTGGTGCTGTATTATAAGGATCTTACACCGACTGCCAGTACAGATCGGAATATTTAGCTCGAGGGTAACAGTTTATGGCAATAATGAGGCTCTGCTGAGTTTCTGCTTAACAGTTACCAGAGAACTATATATTCTGGTCTAATACGACAGCCTGTGTTTAATTCTTTTTCTTTCTTTGCATATAACACATTAATCATATTTAGAAAAGAAATTTTGAAAACTAATATTCTCATAAGCACTTTTTTCTTATAGTTGCATATGAATTTACAACTTCATTTATAATGGCAAAATGACATCATTCATTCACAAATGGTGTGCAGGAATGATGTCATTTAAAGCATGCAACCTGTCTTACATGACGGGTGTAAGACGGATTTTTCTAGCAATAGTGTAAACAGTGGATAATCCTATCTAATATGCTGTAAAAGTGTATATATTACCAGATGTAAATCACTGTCTTGTATATCAACTGCCCATGGTGAGGTACACTTTAGTTCTGGCATCAACAAGAATGGTTCTTCTGCTTGTATAGCCTCTATAGTCTCAAACTGAAAATATATACATCACTTAATAAACGTATATTAATGTAATTATGTACAAGTAAAACATATTTTGAAAATCTTTCAACTTAAGAAAAGGGGACTGTTTTGTTTCATATGAATATTTTCAGACATATTGTGATGCAAATGCCAACTTTTTTTTATCACTATGCAATAATCTCATTTTGTGCAGAAATCAGAGATTATTGGTTTGGACTTTACTACAGTGAAACTATACATCAAATTACATTTATAGCATCATAGTCACTGGAGGATTTATATATATACTGATATTCCTTTCCCACAATGAATCTCAACAAATTCAATTATATAATCAAGTCCTGTCAAATGTATACCTTCTCTAATTATAATAATAATATGAAAGAAGTTAAGGTGTTTATATTATTTTGTTTGTAAATATATCAATGTGATATACATGTATAAATAATGTAAGGTATGAGGGGGATGACCATCTAATACCCATTACGGGGTGAATACACAGGGTTACCCAGATGAGGCCTGTCAAATGGAAATGTTACAATCATCAGTATCTTGAGTAAATCTTTCATGTATATCAATATCAGAACAAATCAATCATTTTCAAACTTCCAACTTTCATGTTTAGTAATACTGGTACATGTACATTTCTATCAATATTTATTGTGCCTACCTTCATATTCATGAGTTTGACCGACACTTCAAACGCACTGACAGTAGCCAGGTTAATGATTTCTGTCTTCACACACGCACAGGGTATCACATGGTTATCAGCTGTCACGTCAATATTGTACTCTACCTGGTATAGTAAATTAATATAATGGTAAAATTACTTTGTGAAATAATAATGAGCAGGGTTATATATTTGTTCACTTAATTACCTTCTCTAAAAATACTGGCCTAGAAGCATCATAGAGTAAATATCTTATTTTTACATCTATCTTTCCAATAAGACACTTCAATCTTTAATTTACAACTACTTTGTACATCAATGAAAACATGAAAAAAATATTTTCAATGGACTGAAGTTTTCTAAACAAAAAATGTTACTAACTTAGACATTTAAGGATCATGACCCTTCCTCTTAACTTTAGCATAAGAATTATTTAAGTAACTTTTTTTCACAATACAATAGAATAGGGCACATCTTCTGTAACTACATTCCTTTAACAAGACTGAAAAATATAAAGCAACTAATTCATCATCACAGACAAGTTACAAGGTATTACTGTTTACCTGGAACGTAATATGTTTGGACCCAGTCTGTAGACATTTCACAAAAATAGACTTGTTCTGAACATCTCCTTTCTGCATGGTTCCCAGATCAATGTAAGAAAGCTGGGAAACAACTCTACCATCAAACTCTGCATGCTCTAAGCTTAGATGTGCTGAGTAGAAAAAAAAGTTATATCAACATCTCTCAAATGATTTTTTTAAAAAGTTTTGACAAGGCAGCATTTCAGGCTGATAAATATCCAAGGACATATAACATTTCATTCCGCTTTTAAATCAAGTCAAAGTTTCTAGGGGCATTTCAATTTTTCAGCATGTCTACTTTTCTAAATGCTAGCAGTAATAAAGGTTAACCATGAAGCCAACAATCTGTACCACACAATCTTGTTAAGTTGTATACGGCTTTATGAAAATGCTAGATAGTATGGTCCCTAGTATTGAAATGCAGTGGTTTGTAGTCAATAACTATAACCACTCAACCACGGACGCACCAAATTGTTAGAAAATTTTCCATCTGTAAGAATACCTAATACACTGTATTGGATAGAAAGCTGGATGATAACATGTATGCAAGAGGTAATGAAGTTTTACCTTCTAATACAGTTAAACACTATATTGTTTTTTGTGGGTTTTTTTTAAAACCTATATTATAAATACGTAAATATGTATACATACTAGATTTGTCTGACTCCTCCCTTTCTGGTATACTGACTGACATGCTGAAAGAAAAAAGTCACTGAATATTACTGATTATCCAAAAAAACTGTATAATTAAGATCGTGTATGATGCAACATGTATTTCATTTACAAGATCATTTTATACCCATCAGTTTTAAAAAACAACTTCTTTGAATTGTGGGTAAACAATTAATAAACAAATCTGAGTACTGTATAAGTGGATATTTATGTGTCACAAAATTTTTGTGAATGTCAAAAAGTTGAATTTTTTCTATTTGCGAAATATGATTTCTTGAATTTAAGACTGTTTTTCTGATATAATTAATAAAGCAAGTACATATTAAGAATATGCCTTTATTGTAATCGTTATATTCACTTCTATTCAGTTGTTCAATACTTTATAATTTATATAATTGTTTGAAATACACATTGTTTGTTTAATAAAGGACTAGATCACATATTTCTTTGTCATATTTTTGAAACATTCTTTGGTTATATGATTAACCTATGGTCTTATTTACACATATATTGTTTATGAAAACATTTGTGATATGTTAAGACCGAACTTAAACAAACAAGCAATGAGAAAAATTAATCTCAGTACCTGAACAGTCAAACTTATTTCATGTAAGATGCTGTATGAAAGCGTGTAGTTTGCCTAGACAGAAATAATTTTTGCGTGATCAAATATTTGCGAATAATTTCAATTCGCAAAAATCTCAAATATTTCCATGTCGCAAAATTTTCCACTTATACAGTATATCTACCCTCAGCTAGGTTTTAAAGCAAATTTAATCACCTTGAACATATAAACAATATGATACTTACACTACATTACTGATAGCTACATCCTCTCTGTTGGTGACAGTAGCTTGTATAAGATAAAACTCATTCTGTAGACTTGGTGCTTCATGATGTAAGTCAATGTCCACTTTCGCTGGTCTTGATACAATCCTGTAAGTTACAAAACAGTAACATAATTCATCTTCTCTACCAAACACTTCTATAAATACTGCTTCTTAATTGCCATAAATATATATAAATGTAGAAGTATAAATTACTTCATGTGTATTTTATGTATAGCATAAATCATTTCAATAAGCTTTTCTAGCAAAGTCTTCAACTTTGACATTGAAAATGATGATTTTGACATGAAATTTTTTAAGTGACTTTGAAAGATGTAAATTTATACTATTCATTGAAGATTTTTTTAATGCAAGAAATTGGTAATAATGAAACAAAAGAAGTAAAAATCTTTTTCAGTATAGCCTGTTACAATATGTAATGAGTGTCTATCTTTCTAAATAGATATCTTACACAATAAATGTTGACTTTATATTAAAAATAAAATTTGTTTACTTTGTTGATTGATCAATCTCAATCTGGTCCCATTCTATTGTATGTTTTCCTTGTTTCCTAGGTAACAGAGTCAGTGCAGTTTGTATTGGTGTAACAGCATCACCACCGGCACCAACCCAGGTCATGACAGCACACCTGGCAGTCTCTGATCCCATCACCACACATACACCTGTTATCTAGTAAATTCAATAATACCATTTTCAGAAAACAATAATATGATATTGAAAATCTAGTTTAAGAGATTATATCTAAGACTACTTACATGGCTCAACATAACATAGTGTATCTAAATGAAAATGTAAAAAAACAACAAAAACAAATCAGGACAGATTTGACATGGCATCAAGCTTACTTCATGTATCATAGTTACAAATGGAAATGAGGCAATAAATCATAAAATGGCTGACAGCAGTTCTTGGTGTTGTAGCCACATGATAATTAATGAAATATGACTTTGGGAGAGACCGGACATAGCCAATATCTACATAATCAACATCTACATACCTCAAGTTGGCTCCCTACATCCTCTTGAACAGGAAGGAAAGTAAATTTATAACATCTTGGAGTGCCGGGTACCAAGTATAAATTTCCTTCTTTACTTTCTGATTCAGAGGCAGCAGATATCCCATGGCCGTCAATCACTTCTAAGTACTGATTATACATCTATTGATACAAATATATATATACATACCCATACATCACATTAAAAATTAGAAATGGCAAAGAGTAACCAGTTAATCAAGTATGTGTACTTGATCACATGTCAGTGTACCAGTTTACAAAATTGATATTCAAATACTCAGTAAAAAATTTCATTGGTAAATATAAAAAGTTCTAAACCAGGCTTTTAAAGTTTGACAGGTGTAGGCCTACATGTATTCAATAAACAACCTGACATCATTTATTGCTGCTTGTAACATATAATTATCAGTGACTGTGCATTGCTGAAATTGTTCTGATGAAATTATTAACCGCTTTGCAGGGATAATAGCTTTCAAGAATGTCAGATTAAATTACATAGACTCTTGAATGAACAATATTTTTTTTATTTTCAAGGTACAGTCTTTGCACTTTTTATCTAGCATTAGTCAATTCTGTGTACGGCTGAAAGCGTCATACATATAAATGAATTACTGTCTATGTTCTCTAACTGGTTTAACAGAAATGGAAGATAGTTGGAAAATGGTTATAACAGGTTATTATACATTTTTAAGGTCACAAGAATTCTTTCGAGTAAACAAGTACTCGATCAGACGAATGACCACACAAATATTGAAATTGATACTTGTTGCCAACCATATAAAAAATATCAATGTAAGAGATACTAGAATAATGTGTAATCTTAAAACTACACAAACATTCATGTGCATACATCTCGGTGTTGCTATGTGTTTCTGGTCCTTCAGGATTATTTATTCAAATACTTTGAGTGTTCAGTAATGAATCTGCCTTAAGCCATTGCTACATGTATGAGAGATAATGTACATTCCCTAATTTCTCATAAATAGACCTGAAGGGATACATTTTACCAAGATATAGGATTTTTGTTATATAGTTCTAAAGGAAATAAAATATTTTCGATCTAAGTATAAAATGGAGTTCAATTTAAAGATCCCTTTTTACAGTCTTTTACTAAAACATGAGTTAATATACATAAGTTTGTACTTACAGGGTTATTGAGTGAGATGCTGACTTTAGAGAATCTGACAGGAAATGGACATCTGACCCGTAGATATACCTCCACCTCAACTTCCTGGTCAGCTGCCACTGTAGCACTTGTAAATCGTGCCTTACATTCAACTAAAATATATGTGTCATAGTGAGGTACACATATGATAGTTAAACATAAATACATTAGTCAGGTAGAGCTATGTCCTTAATAAGTTTATAAATGACAATAACATAGACTATAAAGAAATTTTAAATAAATATAAAGACCAGCAACCTTTTAAAGCAACATGCTCACAGATGAGTCAAAATAGTTCAATAAAATCAAATTTGAGAAAAATATACAAGGATGTAAAGATAAGTAAAAAGTTTCAAGATTCAAGTAATTTTTTTACATATTATGTGTGATTAATGACGGATTTTTCAGTTTTACAACTTTATTTCTACTGCATTACTAATGCAGTAAGGCTATTTATGCATATTTTGACCACTTTTTGTAATTAACATGGTTTGTAAATTCCAATGATAATGTGTAAATTGTATCCTTTTGGTTACTTCACAATATTATACATTCAAATACATTTTCAAACAAGAGGGCCATGACGGCCCTGAAGTCGCTCACCTGTATATAGGCCCCCGGAGCGGGCCAGTTTAAATCCCAGGGCTTTTATTTGAACAAACTTGGTAGACACCCATTAGAAGATGTTTCATGCTAAACATCTAAGTTTTTAGCTGGTCAAGTTTTTTCTTTACACATATAGTTAAAAACAATGACACACCTGGGGCAGGGCCAGTTTTGACCCAAGGGCTTTTATTTGAACAATCTTTGTAGACACTTACTAGAAAATGTTTCATGCTAAATATCTAAACTCTAGCTATTCGGGTTTTTTCAAAGAAGATTTTTAAGTTTTTGCTATACACATATATGGAAAATCAATGTCCCCGGGGCGGGGCCAATTTTGACCCCAGGGCTTTCATTTGAACAAACTTTGTAGACACTCACTAGAAGATGCTTCATGCTTAATATCTAAACTCTAGCTATTTGAGTTTTTTCAAAGAAGATTTTTAAGTTTTTGCTATATACACATATAAGGAAAATAAATGACCCCCGAGGCGGGGCCAATTTTGACCCCAGGGCTTTTATAAGAACAAACTTGGTAGACACTCACTAGAAGATGTTTCATGCTTAGTATCTAAACTCTAGCTATTTGGTTTTTTTTCAAAGAAGATTTTTAAAGTTTTTGCTATACACATATAAGGAAAATCAATGACCCCCTGGGGCGGGGCCAATTTTGACCCAAGGGCTCTTATTTGAACAAACTTGGTAGACATCCATTAGAGGATGTTTCATGCTAAATATCTTAGCTCTAGCTCTTAGGGTTCTTTAAAAGAAGATTTTTTAAGTTTTTACTATATGCATATAGGGAATTCAATGACCCCCTGGGGCGGGGCCAATTTTGACCCCAGGGCTTTTATTTGAACAAACTTGGTAGACACCCATTAGAGGATGTTTCATGCTAAATATCTTAGCTCTAGCTCTTTGGGTTCTTTAAAAGAAGATTTTTTAAGTTTTTACTATATGCATATAGGGAAAATCAATGACCCCCTGGGGCGGGGCCAATTTTGACCCCAGGGCTTTTATTTGAACAAACTTGGTAGACACCCATTAGAGGGTGTTTCACGCTAAATATCTTAGCTCTAGCTCTTTGGGTTCTTTAAAAGAAGATTTCATAAGTTTTTACTATATGCATATAGGGAAAATCAATGACCCCCTGGGGAGGGCCAATTTTGACCCCAGGGCTTTTATTTGAACAAACTTGGTAGACACCCATTAGAGGATGTTTCATGCTAAATATCTTAGCTCTAGCTCTTTGGGTTCTTTAAAAGAAGATTTTTTAAGTTTTTACTATATGCATATAGGGAAAATCAATGACCCGCTGGGGCGGGGCCAATTTTGACCCCAGGGCTTTTATTTGAACAAACTTGGTAGACACTCACTAGAAGATGTTTCATGCCAAATATCTAAGCTCTAGCTCTTTGGGTTTTTTAGAAGAAGATATGTAAAGTTTTTCCTTTTGGTTGCCATGGCAACCAGAGTTCTGCATGGAATTAAATGCTTTGAACAATTTTCAAAGGTGACCACCAAAGGAACATTCCTGTGAAGTTTGGATGAAATTGGCTTGGTGGTATATGAGAAGATGTCATTTCAAGTAAAAGTTTACGGACGCCGGACGAAAAGCGTTCACAAAAGCTCACCCTGTCACAAAAGGTGAGCTAAAAAGGAAAAGTGAATTTAATTTTTTTTATTTAAAATTCTCTTAAAAATTTACAAGCAGATACCTGATTAAGAAAATAACTAAAGGACTCACTCACCACAGGGTACAATATTTTGCATTTCTACATTGAATACACAGGGTTCTATCACAGGATTCCAGAAATTTCTGGCCTTCTCAACACAGGCAGTTTCTAAGCCAGGTTCTGCTTCAGGGGCATCATTCTGTATAACAGGAATTGTTTAATTTTTATGTTTAACTCCCCGGTCAATACCATTGATAATAACCTCTGCCACCAGAATAGTGCAAGGCAAAGCCTCTATATTGATGGTAAAGTAAGATTTACAAAGTTCCAATCCCATCCAGAGGCAATGAACTGATCAAAAATCAAATAAATGCTAGCATATTGCACAAATTTAATGGTGATTATGTTAAAACAATAAACACCCTTACAAATGGCCACGAATATGCTGTTAATTTGAATAAAAAGTTAAAAACCAATCATTTATATAGATCTATTCAATTTTTTTTGTTGTTGTTGAGAAATTACTTGTTTTTTATTCCAAGCCATATGTCAGTATATAGCATCTTACATGTACAAGCATTTCTAATTTAAGAATTGTTCATATGGTTCATAGTTAAGAACTGTAAATGATGTGTAAAGCTCAGTCGGTAGAGTCGCTTAGCTGAATTCCATGAGTCTCGGATTTGAGTCCTGGTCAAGCTGCACATTTTTCATAAGGTTCACAAATCAAAGGATGATGATTGCTATTTTCTCTTAAAGAATAAATAAAGATATAATATATATGAAATTGTTATACTTACAGACATAACTCTTAACAGATTCATCTGAATTCTCGTCTTTTCATCAGCTGGACATGTTGTATCTTTATAATGTAGTCAAGGAACATTTGCTTTGTCATAATTATGAGATCATTTTTTATCTTCTTTACATTTACATTTATTACCTAAATTCAATCAAGCTAGACACATTTACTTCTTTACTTCTTTAATTGTTGTAAAAAGAAATAAAAGGATACAAGGTCCAATAAGTTCAACGCAGTTTATAACATAGTCCTGTATTTTCCCAGTCAGGTAGGCACACTTTAGTGATGTTGTAAGTATGGAGGTCAGTAAAGGCCACCATCTCTCTCCTCTATAATCCCATGTCACCTTACTTAATAACCTACATATATATATAATATTTTTCTCATCATTTCATAATTTCTTTTACCCTTAGCATGTTGAAATTGTATAATGGATTTGCCCTACTTTAAAAACAGTTCAGGGGATTTAAACAGCAAATACAATGATGCAGCTGTCAACAGTATAGAGCTTGATTAGACTCTGAGGATTTACAGGCTGGCTTGACTCTATACTGTTGACAAAGGCTAATACATGTACTAGTAACTTGGTTCCAGTGATTAAATTTTAAAGATAGCTGTCGTATTGGCTCAGACTATCCTATGCAAGGAGTGTAGAGTCAGTTCCAACTTCCACAATCATACTTGTGCAGTCTTTACTGAACTGACTCTTCAATGTAAGCAGTTTGATACTGAAACAAAGCAATAATTTAACTGTTTTTCAATCTCTGGCAGGCATTTTAGTAGAATAACTGACCATGGAATTCAATATCTCTAATGAACATTAACCCATAAATGATTTAGTTATTGACATAACTACTCTTTTATAGGGTTCTAAATCAATTTATATACCTGTGAACATAATAAAATCCACTTACATAAGAGATCTTTGATAATCTTTGGCATGGAAATATTCTTGTCCCATTTGAACCACTGTAAAGAATGGAAATTATGGAATCATTATATTCCTGTGGGCAGGAAACTTCACTGATTCATGAAATGCTTGCTATTCACGCTAAGATATAAATATTGGTAGTTTTATTATTTAACTATATGGAATGAAACAATTTTTAAGGAAGTATATGTATATGTAGTTAATCACTAGTCAATATTGCTCAGAAAAAAAGATATATTCATAAAACATAATTTAGTACTTTGACTTTAAAAGTAATTATCTTAATACATTTAAACATAAAGAACTGAAATTTTGGCAACTAAATTTCTATAGCTGTATCAAGTTCCTTTGTGCTGAAAAACTTGAAACAGAGTAAAATCCTAGCATTACTATAATCTTAACTCACTCAGATATCGCTTCATTCTCAAGGATTTGTATTTCTTGAACTGGGCAACAGCACTGTTTAATAATGGAATTATCAGCCACTGTAAAAAACATATAAATTATATATTCAAGCACATACATATACACATAATTCATTCTATCACAAATGCATCAATATATAACACATACACTGAAGGATACACATCATATTAGTTTTAACATAGCTGACTATAAAAAGTTGTACCATTCATGACTCACAAAATACCAAATCAATGCCTGGTTTGTAACACATTATCACTGTCAAATACATGCCATTATTATAATATATTGTAGGGTTTTTGTATGGAACAATGGATCAGTAAATATAAGATAAAGATTCCAATATCGATACAGATACAATCTGACTGATAATTCAGACAAAAACATCTCATTCAAGGGTAAATCATAACAATAATGGTGGTGAAGAAATCAGAAATATGGACATTTGCGTCCCCATCCTACCCCCACATCAAAATTTCATCTGGGGAGAAAGAGAGCATGTCAAATGACACAAATTAAGATGCCCATAAATGTTTTATTATATTATGTTATTGGCTGAGCGTATTTGTTCATAGCCATGTCATATATCCAATCATACTGGATAAAATGGAGAGATCTAAATGTGATAAAACATACAGAATGATCTTCTTTCAACTCTAGACATTGTAATGCCACTATCCCTTCCTTCTCTTTCTGTAAATCTGGTGGATCTATACCTGTTACATATATAAACACATGCTAACTACATATTATATACTCATAACATGGCCGGTACTGTGCATTTAACAATAGATACATATCAATATGTCATTGAAATAAGGCTATTTTTCATTTTCATTTAAATATATGTCGCCTATGCTATTTTACCTACAAGCACTTATAAACTGATTGGGATTCAAAAGCACAAATAGATACTATAGAAATAGTCTTAATTTTTGTCAAATTTCTAATCTATTCTAAATATATGTAATTAAATTTAAAAGCACCTAGTATAGAACATTTACTGTAATATTAAAGAAGAAACGATGACATTGATGTTTTAAAGAGTTTCTGTATCAAGTATTTGGAAATAAATAAATAAAGAAGCAATAGCTTCCCATGACATTTGCTTTATAAATGTGATTTTATCTGTGCAGATAAAATATTTAAATATATCATGATTTTCTTTGAATTATAAAACTTGTCTGAAAATATCTCAAAAAAGACAACTCACTTTGAAGTCCTTGCCTCCAGGGTCTTTGTCCATAGAAATCCAATGATTTAAGACCATCAGTTATCTCAGGGTCTATTTTCTCTTGAGTTGGCTGAAAATTTCAAACACTAACATTAAACTTTTCTAAATGAAACAAAAACACACAGAAACTTGGAAAGGGCAAAATTAAAAAAAAAAACACAAAAAAAAATATCAAAAATAAATTAGATCTTACAGTCCTATGCTCATTTTTTCATTGTCAAATAGAGCTGAATTGACTATATATTTCAAAAGATTGACTGTTATAATGGTGATTGCCCAACAGTTGATGTTGGAAAATATTGAAAATAAAATATAAATATGCTAAAAATATTAAAAGAATGCCCCAACTTTTTTATGAATTGAATGTTACAGATAAATTCTGATGGTTATCAACAGAAATTTCATTGCACCACTTGTGTTGTTCATTTTTCATGTGAAGTGAATTATAAAATTGAAAGGAATTATGGCTAAATGTCAACTTATTTTGACTCTCACCTGTTCATTCACTATCTACTCTTATATGAGCATAATGTCACTTTAAAACTTGGAACATTTTTGCTGTTTACCTCTTACACATTAGCAATTAATCAAGACTCAAGAGATAACACTATAATGACATGGTGTTATAATGACTGTACAAATAGTCAAATACACATGTACAGTGAAATATTATCAGTCTCAACAATGGGAAATAGAAAATTCTAACACGACCCGCATTTTTCCCTATTGAACATAGAAGAACAGAAAGTGTGTGTTATTATGCAACAGATGCACAGTTTGACGTTCTATATTTAGACATGTGACGTTATCCCTAACCACCAAATATCCGACGCGCTGAAAATAAGTACGGAAACAAATCAGGCAAAATTTTGCTTAACTATCAAGTACGGTAACATTTATTTGTTGATGTCGTGTTAGAATCGAAATAATATATCCCAAACAGTGATTTTATCGTTTGATAACATCACTGTTTGTCGTTCGGATGCGCATCATTATATCACTCGAGCTACGCCCTCGTGATATAATTCCTCGCATCCGGACTCCAAACAGTGATGTTATTGAGCGATAAAATCACTGTTTGGGATATATTATTTCTTAAATAAAACCAGCAGACAAATTAACAAAAAAATCAGTTTTTTAGAGTCCTATAAAAGGAACAAGCACTATGATGATAATATTGTGATTTTCAAGTGTTGCAAGAATAATCAGTATATACAGTCCTCTCTACTTACCTTACAGAGCCCTCTACACAGTTGTTTCCTGGCAATAGCATGGTTTGCTGCTTGCTGGTAGTAGAATCCTGGATGTTGTGTCTGTATAGCTGTCAATCCTAGCTTGATAGCCTCATCAAATAAATCTCCAAATACCTGGAACCTATAAATAGAACGTAAATAAATCCCTACATATCTCACATATAAATAAACTCTAAATATCTGAAATCTAATCAATACATGAACATGTACCACAAAAATCATTTAATATCTGGCATCTGTAACAAATCATAAATCTTTATCTGGACTTTTTTTAATGATAAAATAATAATGACTATCAAGATAACTCCAATCTATGAGGACATATACCTGTCAATAGTAATCAATATAACAAACAATATCATGCAATCTTATACAATAAACAAACATATACATTTATAGTAAGACCCAATACATATTACTTGTATTCTCAGCCAATTGTTCAATTTTCAGATCAGATCAATATTAAACATTCAGCAAGACAATAACTGACATCATTTAATACTGACAAATGTGAAAGCAGTACTGAAGACCTGAGCATGATATTGATTGACAATATCTAAGGTCTTAATTAAAAGACTGACAAGAAGCATTTCAGTACCAAATTACTATTCACAAGATACAACTGTTAAGTAAGGGGCAGTTGAAAGACAGATTTATTAAAAAACATAAATACAATACTTTTGGAATGAAAATAATTCTTTAAAGCAGCACGCCTCCAGATTCATGCTTATTTTTATAAAAATTTAGAAAATGAATTTAAAAGTAAAATATAGTGAAGTAATCAAAAGGAAACACTTTACACATTACAATCAGCACTCACAACCCATTCAAATGATCAGAATGAGGTAAAAATATTAAAAAATAGGGGTTTAACTCAATACAGGATTGGAGCAGTACCTCTAGACGCTTGCAGGAATCATGATCACAAAAGAGACAAATATTGTTTTTTTTTCGCCGATTTTTACATTTTCATTCATTATCATTCCTGAATCAGTGTGAAAAGATTAATTAGATCTAATAAAGTTCATTCTGTTTGGTAAAAAGGCAAGATTTTAGCATGTTATCATTCAAGCGCCTTGTCCGGTATATACCGGAATATGGTATTTAGTGTAGTGCTCCAATCCTTTTTATAGTTTCACTCAAAAAATAGTCTTTACTGTATTAGTAATGCAGTAGCAATATGGTTATAAGTACCGAAAAATCAATCATTAATTGCACATAACATGTAAAATTATTACTTAATTTCTTTAATCTTTTTACTTTTCCTAAACTCTTAGTATATTTTTCTCAGGTTTGACTTTATTGAAATATTTTGGCTCATCTGGAGGCATGCAGCTTTAAACAAACAAAGGTAACTCACTGTTTAGACATCCAGGCACTGTGCTCAAATGCCAGATCAGCTATTCCTATTTTACTCTTGAAGAAGTCAATATGCTTCCTAAATTGGGCTATACCATCCAGCGGGGCATTGTGTTGGAATGATAATCTACATATCTGAAATATTCCATTTTACATTTGAGCCGCATCACGACAAAACCAACATAGTTGCGCATCTGTGCAGTCTGATCAGGATCCATGCTGTTCACTTACCAACTCTATTACAAGTAGAGAAACTGATAGCGAACATCATGGATCCTGATCAGACTGCGCAGATGCGCAGGCTGGTCTGGATCCATGCTGGTCGCAAACGCACTATGTTGATTTTGTTATGAAACGGCTCATTTGTAACTAATTTATACTTTCTGTAGTCAAACATGTAACTACAATATCATCTTTTACACCATACAGTGTATATAAAAAATGATAAACATATAAAGTCTAAGAGCTCAAGACATTTTACATTATACAGAAACTCTATTATTTGTCTTCCTTAATAAAGCATGATGATGCATTTCAATAGTGTTGTTTCAAACAAATAATACTAAAATGTTTCATCAGCATACATACAATTACAATTTATACCATAATTGTTACTTCAGTAGCTTTAATAAGATAATAAATTGAAGTATGCATTTGAGTTTGATAAACCAGAGTATGAGTGCTTAAACATTTGGCATTTAAAGAACAAGGAGAAGCTTCTGGAATTGGGGCATCTTTCTGTCTCTATATCTTGCACTATCCTCCAAAATATAAAATGACTTTTTCTCTTCTAGAGAACTCTCCCATATTGGCAACCTGTGGCAAGTATAAATAACCTCAAATACACACAGGGTTTGATAAAATTGGTGTACCACATGTATATGTGTAATATACAACAGAATTACCTGGCAGGGAATAATACTTTTTATTAATTTATATTAATCAAGTAAGTACAGTTTGATAAGTTATACCTTGTAGTTGATAAATCCAGCAATAGTTTTAATTTCCAGCATGTTTGTATCATACATTCTCAGCTCCAGTATATGACCATATGCTTGCTTGTAATGTCTGTAAATAACCATTCATATATTCAATATAAATAAATGTAAATGTAATTGTTTAAACACAAAATAATCTCAAGATTATCAAATACATTATTTACTTAGTTAACTATTCAACTTTTCTGTTCCGACAAATGTAGATATGTATAAGTAGAGAATGTCTAACATGAGGCACACTAATGAATACATATTCAAACAAGAGCTGTCGGTAGGACAGCACGCTCGACTATTCTAAGTGCTTGATTGTAAAAGAGCCTTGATGTTAAATTTTTTAAGTTCACAAAAGGGCTAATTTTTCTTATAAATTCATGTTATAGGCCTTAGAGAGAGTCTAATTATACAGTATTGGCTTGACTATTCGGAAGGTAATGTCACAAGGGTGTTTTATTGAGTATAATAATACTAATTACCTATGAATACATAAATTTGACAGAAAAGATACAAAGGCTTGTTATTAAGATGTTTTATCAAGTAAATCAATGCTTTATTATTATGAATGCAAAAAATTGTCCCAAAAAAGGCACAACCCCTTCAGTAGTTATTGAGATAACAGCTTACAAGCAAAACTTTTCCATGAATTTCTAAGTTGAAAAAGGGGAGAAAAATCAGCCTAAATGCAAGATAGAATTATGGATCTTTGTCAGTGACCTACAATTATGGCCCTAAATGCATATGTGAAGTTTTAAATAAATATCTTTAATAGTTATTGAGATATGTAAAACTTACATGTAAACATTAACCAAGAGACTAAGTAGAAAAGGGGATATGAATCAGCCTTAATGCAGGATAGAGTTATGGAACTTGGTCAGTGACATACAATTATGACCCTCCTATTATGACCCTAAGTGCATGTGTAAAGTTTCAATAAATATCTTTGAAGACCTTTAACCAAAATTTCTAAGTTTCAAAGGGGCAAATAATTCTGCAAATATTGCAGGCAGAGTTATGCAATTTTGCAAACTGATGTACATTGTAACTATAAAAAAGTATTTTAAATTTCAATTGAATATCTCAAGCAATAATTGAGATATTTGCCTTTACAAAATAACTTTAACCAAAATTTCTAAGTTCCAAAGGGGCATTATTCTTTCAATATTGTAGGCAGAGTTATCCAACTTGTCAATGTAATGTACCTTGTTACTATAAATAAGTATTGTAAGTTTCAATTGAATATCGCAAGCAATAATTGAGATATTTGACTTTACAAAAAACTTTAACCAAAATATCTAAGTTAAAAAGGGGCATAATTCTGTCAATATTGTAAGCAGAGTTATCCAACTTGTCAATCTGATGTACCTTGTTACTATAAATAAGTATTGTAAGTTTCAATTGAATATCTCAAGCAATAATTGAGATATTTGACTTTACAAAAAACTTTAACCAAAATTTCTAAGTTAAAAAAGGGGCATAATTCTGTCAATATTGTAGGCAGAGTTATCCAACTTGTCAATCTGATGTACCTTGTTACTATAAATAAGTATTGTAAGTTTCAATTGAATATCTCAAGTAATAATTGAGATATTTGACTTTACAAAAAACTTTAACCAACGCAGACGCCGACGCGGACGCTGACGCCGACGCCGGGGCGACTACAATAGCTCTCATATTCTTCGAATAGTCGAGCTAAAAAGAGTCTCAGTGAATATAATAATTTTGTCATAATGGAAAATTGCTACACTTCCTTCAATTTATATTGTATAACAGAAACAGATTTAAATCTCATAATTTCAATTTATCAACAACTGATGTTTTAAGAGTTCTCTTCTTATGACAGCAAAATAACTTGTTTTAAATTTTGAATTTTAGCTTAACTTGCATGGACAAAAAACCTGCATCATTGAAGAAAGAAATAATGTTAAAGCACTATTTGCTATTTACATATGTATATACATTGCAGTTTTTGTATATCATTTAATTCAATAAAAACATATTCTACTTATTTTTTCATTAGCTTAAAAGATATAACAAAATCTGTAGAGACCTCAACAAAAAATATCACAGAAACATATCGTATCAATCAAATGATTATTATGAACTAAAAAGACAAATTGGATTAAGTAATAATGCATAAAATAATCATGAGTTGTTTCGGTGGATTTAAGTCACATCAAAACTATCTTGTCGGGACTTTACTGGTGACCTCAGGTGCCCCTTTGTGCATCACTTCAGTAGTTTTAAAGATTGATGTTGTGTGTAAAATTTTAACCAAGAATTTTTTAAGTTCACCAAGAACAATAATAAGTCAAAATTGAAGTCAGAGTTATGCGTTACAAATCGCAAACTCCTACTATGATCTCAAAGACATGTGTGAAGTTACAAGCAAATATCTTTGATGGTTGATATGATATGAAATTGTACAAGAAGTTGTATGTAAAACTTTAAGCAAAGTAAAATGCCTATGTTTATGTCCTGGTAAGTAATATGAGCCCAATATTCTCTGAACAGTTAAGATAAATATTGCGATCTACTAACTTGATAGCTGTATGAGTATCCTGTTTCATCTCGTTGAAGAAAGCAACTTTAAACTGGTGTCTTACAAACAATAGCTGCAATAAACAATATGTTAATTAGCATAAATTGATGTTTCTAAAAAAACTTCTCCGATCATAAATATGAAAAAATAAGAAAAATAATAAACATATACGTGTATATTACATGACTGACTGTTAATTTGTGTAAATATAAACTTAGATATACATTTTGTATAATATTCACGTGTATAAATAACATATATAACTAACGTAAATAATAAATTAAATAAACTTTAACAGAAGAAGTAGGAAATTCAAATTTCAATATTTATATATTTTACCTGATGTGTAGTTTTATTGAGGAAATCTTTGTGTGACTTCACCTTTCTTGCCTCACCATGATAATATGCTTGTGATAACTCATAGAAGGCATTCTCTAACCTACAAACATACCAGCATTCTCATTTATCAAATTGTGTCAACAAGACACATATTTACCCATATACTCCTTTGTTTCACTCTGATAAATATATGTGTAAGGTTTGGCAACTGTATAATTTCTTACTCAGTCATTTCATTACACTGTGTTTGAATTTCACTTCTGAAGACGTTACAACATCCAATTAGAATTTAAACATTATAAAGACAATGTAAGACTATAGATTAACTATCTAGGATTACTTAGTAAATAGATTGTATCTAGTATCTTCAGATATGCAGTACTGTTTAAACAATCAGTTATTTACTATAAAAAACAAAAATACAGAAGAGAACATTTTAGTTAATTAAGGTCGTTGATACAGTGTATCACACATAATAGGGGTTTTTGATCAATTGTGACATTCTTTTTTTCTCAAATAAAAGATTTTACCTTATTGTGTAGCCAATTAAATGGTCAGTCTGTGGTAGGACATACAGATTTTTGGCTGACAAATCACATGCACTACACAGTGATGCTGCCCTTTCTGCAGCTACAACATCCTCACCAGGGGGCAGCGGTGCATTTTTCTGTATCAACACAACTGACACTTTTGTTCCTCTACCTTGTAAACTATTCCTATTGAAACAAAAACAAAAAAAGTAATGAATAAATGTGTTATTCTTCAGCTGTAAGCTTTATATGCACATGTTAGAAATAGACTTAACAGCTGCTTGTTAATATCTTTGCCATCAACATACACTACCAAAAACATATAAATAATAGAAAAGACAAATTCAGAAAATGAAATCGTAAATTTTACTCGGCCGAAACAATATAATGTATTATGCTCCATGTTGTTAAATATCATAAACGATTCATTACCTGACAATTTCTACTCTAGTAGAACACTCCATTTGTTTTTCTTTCCACATATGTTCATCCCAATCAAGATCATAAAAAACAACAACAACAGCTGGTACCTGGGTCAAATGTTTCTTCATCCATGTTGACTTCAATATACCTTTAGGAATATACCACTCATAGGACTGTCTCTGATTTTGGAGATAATAAAATAAATTATAACAAAGTCAGGGAGGAGTGTAACTGTTAACAATACATAAAATTTCATTTATTGGCAAAGCATTATCAATAAAGTGACAAAGTTTAATTAGGCATCACTCTAACTTTTACTGGTGAAGGAAGTGCCCTGATAATTATGTCTGTTCAGAAACTTATCCCTTGCCAATCAAATACACGAAAAACTACTTGCCACTTACATGTACATGTATTAAAATGTTTTTGTGTTATTGTAAATTTGACATATAGAGTTACATTCTATATACTAACTGTGAAAATTTATAATATATTTAAAGATTTATTTAAATGTGCCAGTTAATTACCTTATTAGTTCTACATTTTGGGTACTCATGGTCTCCAGGGACAACCTGAAACTGTAAGGGAACACGGTCTGGTCGCCTGTTGTTACAAAATGAGTCCCATATAGATTTGTGTACAGCATTGTATGTAACATCAAGACCAGTCAATATCACTTGACCTGTTGGCCTACACAGTAACTCCTCTGGTAGATTATTTGCCCAAGACATCTTTCAGAATGATCTGAAAAGGACATACTATTCTATTATTTTAGCAGTTTAACATTTGCAATACTCTACATCAACATTGTTATTAAAAAAAAAATAAGGACAGTCTTTGTAAAAAAAAACAAAAAAACAACAGCACATGGACTTTTACTCAGGAAATGAAAAGTCTATGAAATTATATTGAATACAGTCAAACATGTCAACAAAGACCACCAAGGGTAAAGTGCAAGTGTTTGGAGGAAAATAATTATGTTTGAACTTTGATGAGCCTTTTCAGAGTTTTTTTCCCCAGCTGATTTTATTGCCAATATTCTGTTATATTCTCATCAAAAATAGTATCTTTTTTCCCAATTCACAGACAAAAATTCCCAATCGAAAATTCAAAAACAAATAAAATAATGATGATTTTTGTGTACATCAAAACGATCATGAAAGATGTAGTATACAGTTTTTGTAAATATTTGATAAAATTCATAGACAGGGACTGTGTTTAGGACAAAGTCGGACGAAAATTTTGCCAAAAATATTTTAACTTCACCCTGTTTGGTGGAAAAGCGAAATTCTAGTAGGCAAACAATTTTCATAAAAAACTCAACATGTATATGTTGAAATCTTACAATTTAAATTAGCACATGCACAGTAGTGTGACCATAGCGACACTTTGTAATTGACATGGTAGAACTTGTTAAAGTGTATTAAATTATCAGGCTGTTAAAGCTATAAAAGCTATGACTGATACGGATGATAATTATAGCAAGCTAATTGATAATTAAGTTACATTAAACATATAATATGGCCACAGGGAAGCCTATTCTAGCAGACGCTGGCTGCAGACAGCAAGAGACCTTTAATGGCTTTATTCACGTCATTCACACAGGGATTTTCATCAAGGGGAAACCAACATGACTGTTGTTGGCAAATGATCGTTACTCGGAAGTAACTGTTAGCTAAAGTTAGACTGTATATAGCCCGGGGTTCTATGATATCAATTCATGGTACTTAACGTTTATCAGAAAATATTTAAATATAAATATCATAAATAAATGAGATTTTTATTCTGGCATCTTATAATTGAACCTTTTCCAGAACTGGTTGTCAACAAATTATTTCAAAAGACGTGAATAAAGCACCATTATGAAACACCTTGACACCTACAACATACTTACAGATGCCCAGCATGGATTTCGTAAACGCAGATCCTGTGAGACTCAACTTTTACTGACAGTCCAGGACCTTGCTTGCAATATGGACTCTGCTGGTCAGACTGATGTCATTTTATTAGATTTTTCCAAAGCTTTCGACAAGGTCCCACACCACCGATTACTTACAAAACTTCAATTCTATGGTATACGAAAAACAACCTACTAAAGTGGATAAACAGCTTCCTAGGGGATCGGAGCCAGAGAGTGTTACTAGACGGCAGCAAATCAGGTGAAGCACCTGTCCAGTCAGGTGTCCCACAAGGCAGTGTTCTAGGACCTCTCTTATTTCTCATCTTCATTAATGATCTACCCAACTATGTATTCACCTGAATCCACCCACTAGAATGTTTGCTGACGACTGTGCCCTTTACCGCTCTATCCACTCAGACCAAGATGCTATAGCCCTACAAAAAGACCTAGATGGACTACAAAGATGGGAAAGGGATTGGTTGATGGAATTCCACCCTCAAAATGCCAGATACTCCACATAACAAAAAGAGAAAACCAATCAGACAACCATATAACATCCATGGACACATCTTAGAAGAAGTAGATACAGCAAAATATTTAGGCCTCAACTTCCAAAAGTCACTAAACTGGAACCATCACATTGATCTAACTACAAAGAAAGCCAACAATGCCACATCCTTTCTACAGAGAAACATCAATCAATGCCCAAGAAGGACCAAAAGCAGCTCTGCTATATGACCCTCGTGAGACTCTGGTGGAATACTCCTCTATCATCTGGGACCCTTTCACTGAGGCAAATATCTGGAAACTGGAGATGGTGCAGCGCGAGCAGCAAGAATGGTCTTCTCAGACTACAGAAGAACCAGCAGTGTGACATCGATGCTGCAACACCTACAGTGGCCTACCCTCCGAGAACGCAGAGCCCATGCCAAGGTGACCATGATGTACCGTATAGTAAATGGCCTAGTAGAAGTCCCTACATCCAACCTCACCCCAGTCATCTCTGTTCGAGGACATGGACTTCACTACCTGGTACCATTTGCAAGGACCCAGTGCCCAGGACCCAGCGATCCTTCTTCCCAGACACCATCCGCCTCTGGAACAGTCTTCCCCGGACAGTTGTAAGCTGTACAACCATAGACAGCTTCAAGAGGGAAGTACTCCCACTCACTCTCCGATAGACAGTCAGGTGTTTTTACCTTTATACCAGCACTATACATAGTACTTTTTTAAATCACTCTTGTACATAGACACTTCTCACACCGTGCTGCGCTAGTACGAGTATACGCCGGAAGGTGTCTGTACTATATTGGAAGAAGAAGAAGAACCAATAAAAATGACATTTTTCAGAATATTTCAATGTCTGCCATTTTGGGTAATTTCAGAGGAGGTTACTACGGTATCAAGGTAATCCCAAAAAAAGCAAGTATGGAAAGATAGATGGGTCAAAACTTTCAAGTTAAGTTGTGAAAAACTTCCAATAGTTAACTTGCTATGAAATTAAAACTATATGAACAGACTATACATGTATGTCAGTATATGTGTTTATAACATATTTTAATTGACTGTGTAAAAACCATTAAGGAAAATGGTAGTCAAATATGAAGGTTTTATAAAATAGTTTTCTTGCCACAAATACATTCATTATTCACCAAATTAAATTTATTGGCAGATGAAAATGAATCTAGTGTGCAAGTTTTACAAATATTAGCATCATCGTGTGTTGCTTTTACTAGCAGTCACAGAAAATTTAAATACCTTGATATCATAGAACCCTTGATATCATAGGAACCGAGTATAAACGCATCAAAAAAAAAAAAAAAAAAATATGATATACATTTATGGTTTGACACACCCACTAAATGATACTGGGATGTCCAAGTATTTAAAAAAAATCATCATAATAAAATACATAAGAAAATCATCTCTTTAAAATATTATTAATAACAACATTCTCATCTTAGATCCGAATGCCATATATTTTATCTTAAATCCAAATAGGTCTTTATTTTCTTTATTATTTAATGTATTTTCGCGACCAATTATTCATCCAATATTCAATGAAAATTGTGGATCTATTTATTATGAATTAGAATGCATTTAAGGGAAGTCCTTTTACACTTTCATTATAAAGTTATAAACACCAGTTTATGTTGTCATTTTCAATTTATTTTAACTTTTCATCTAATGACATTTAGCCGGAAATTGGATACAATTTATAAGTTGTTTTATCTGTACCGTGCCGTTCTTACCGTATTGTATTTTCCGTCCTTCAGTCATCCGGTTACGTCGTCAACCATCCGTCATCCAATGTTTTTTGTGGTTCATTCCGCACAATGTTCTCAGTAATAAAGAAGAAAAATCCAATGACCGTCGGTTTAAATGGAAACATTCACTGGTTTATGCGAAAAAAACAAAACAAATGAAGACCAAAGTAAATGCCGGATGCCTACTTTAGATACACTCATGCTTGTAAAATTTTAAAAAGTCAAATGACACCTTTTGATTTAAGGACAATTTTCATAAAAGTGAATACATTTCATATTCGTATTTTGTTAACAAATCTGTCAGTTGAAGAGAGGGAGGGGAGAGGGACGCACGACACCTTTAGGGAAACAAGAAACCCCCCCCCTCCCCCGTTCCTCCCAAGAATACGCATTACCTGTTGTCAAATTTTTGCGACTACCTCTTGCAACAAAATCCTGGCTCCAAATCTGTCATTCCTTGATAAATTTTAATAACTATGCATATCGGACATTATGACGAAATAACGCGGACAAGATTTATATAGCCTTTTTGTGTAGCTAAAAGGTCAAAGGTGAAAGTCACATTTATACGTATGACTTTTTCCATTAAAGAGTACATGGTCGTGTCCGATCAACAATTCTGTCGTTCCAGGATGTATTTTAAAAACAAACTTGGCAGAAATGTGTTTGGTATGACGGCTATTTGTTCAGCGCATGAGTACAGTATACATGGACGTCTCTAGCTCTAAGGTCAAGGCCACACTTAGGAATTGTTCATAAAAATTCATTGATGGTCGTGTCCGGTAAACAATTCTGTCTTTCCTAGGTGAATCATATAATAACCAGGCATTAATACATTGTATGTTGGATGTCGTGGCAAAGTGTCACGCACAATAAAGGGTCAGGGTTTCAGCTTAAAGGTCAAGGTTACACTTGACCATCGGAAGAACTGATTTGAATTTTTCATATATATGCATACATGGTCGTGTTTCATCAATAATTTTGTCATTCCGGTATGGGTTTTGAAAAACTTGGATTGAAAGGATGTGTCGCGCAAAAAAATGTTAAATTTCCAGCTTAACGTCATGTCATGCACAGTGTACATCCAACGTTTAAACATGTGAAAGGTTGGACAAGTCTGATCCATAACTTTGTTATTCATGGATGGAGTTTGAAATAATTATGCATTAATGAAATACACATTTATATATTAACCTTGCATTAGATGTGGGGATTGTGGCAGGGTGGTGATGGCAGGAAAAGCTAATTGTAACGTCAAACTTATTTCTTTTACATTTTAATAAATGATTTTTTTATCTGTTTTATATATAAAGACTTTACAAATAACAAACAATTCTTATGATGTTATGATAAACAAAACGTAGTCTATAGTCTGTCCCACCAAATTTGAATATTTCATTTTTATTTAATATAATGGTAAATTCATTTAAATTAATGTCATGTTAATCCTGAACGTCAATATCTCTAGGCATGTTTTTCTTCTTCTTTTTTTTCAAAATTTTTAGAAACATGGCACGTGCTTTCTCTTGTTTATCATCAAATGAAGAGTACTTCGGCAATGGCTACGAAAAACAAACAACAGAGATTTTCCATAGAGAAATCAAACTCTGCTTTTACAAGAAAAGTAGATACTTTAGAGAAAAATCCTGAAAAATCTCGAGGCTGAATGGTTTGTTTTTTTTATTCAACATCGTTTTGTTAATTCATACCAGGCAAAAGTTCATTTCCATTTTTCACGGGACAGACTATAGTAACACGAAAGCTGAATAAATAAATTATTTAAGGGTGCACTACTAATATACAGTAGATATTCAAGTTTCTACTATAAGTACAGGATTTATTTTCATCGAGTGGTATGAAGTATGCTATTTCTATTACCACAAGATAAACATAAATCCTGTATTAATTAAAAAACTTGAATTTTCTGTTTACTATATACTTTTTCTCTTTTTGAGCCTGATGAATAGGAATAATTCCCTTTTAATTTTGTGTATTGGCTGAATTTAGAAGAAAGTAGTCTGCCAAGACACCAGTGAAAACAGGGTTTGCCTAAAATGTAATAAGTTTAAATTAAAACCCTTATTGTTATGTCAGTTATTTGACGCATTTGTTGGTGCTATATTGAACTATTCATCAGAACTATGGGGTTACACAAAATCAAAGGTAATTGAAAGAATCCATCTTAAGTTTTGCAAACGTATTTTAAATGTTAGAATTTCAACCGCAAGTGCTGGTGTTTACGGCGAGTTAGGAAGATTCCCGCTATATATAACAAGATACGTAAGAATTGTAAAATATTGGTGTAAATTGCAACAGTCAGATAATATTATTTTACAAAAGACATATGAACAGGGTTTGATAGATTGTATTAAAGGACGTAAAAACTGGGTTTCAAACGTTAAAAAATTACTAAGTGATTATGGATTTGCAGATGTTTTCCTCAATCCTAGATCGGTTGATTTGAAAAAATTTCCTAATATTTTTAAGACACGAATCGTTGATTGTTATAAACAAGATTGGAACGCATCAGTAAATAATTGTGCAGTGCTTGAAAATTATAAACATATTAAGCAAGAGCTAAGGTATGAAACTTATTTGGATATTTTACCTTTTAATCTAAGAAGTTATTATACAAAACTACGTTTATCAGCACACTCACTTAGGATACAGACCGGTCGTTATTCAAGAAATAGAATACCTAGAAATGAAAGATATTGTTTGCAATGCAATTTGTTAGACTTAGAAGATGAATTTCACTTTTTATTTAAATTTCACTTTTTATTTAAATGCCCATGTTATGAAGATATAAGGAAGAAATACATTAAAAGATACTTTTTTCAAAGGCCGAGTGTGTTTAAAATGATGCAGCTGCTAACAAATAAAAATTATACTGTAATAACAAATCTAGCAAAATATATTAAAGCCGCTACATACGTACGACTTTCACTATTAAGTAACTGATATTCACGTACATTGTTCATCCTTTGTATACTGTTTCACAATGTTCATCCTCTCTATACTGTTTAATCTTAATTGATATCAAATTATATGATTACAAGCAAATGTTCTTCAGATTTTGAACACAATAAAATTTCTTTCATCTGTTTGTTAAAATGGTTTCTCGACCTATGCACATAATTAATTTAAATTATATGATTGCATATATGTGTTTATTGTATGATGAATTACTTTTGCACAAATCTCAAATACTATTCCTGCTTTGTTTTACTTAGTATGTATTATTGTGCAATCAATATACTTTTCAAGTGTAAACATAAACATGTGACATGATATATATATATATTTGCAAGACGATGTATTATGTACAAGTCTTAAATAAAATGTCTGTTCTGTTCTGTTCTGTTCCTAAAATACGAAAGTGAGATTTTTGACGAAAGTGAGCGAAAGTGAGCGAAAGTGACTTTTAAAATATTAATTGTAACGTTTTAATAGACTTTTACAATAAAATTGCAGTTTGTAGACGTATATTATTAGAAATTACTTATATTTATTATGAAAAATAATCATAATGATGATTTATTCGGTTTTTATTTGCATAATTTATATACACAAATTCTTATATCTTCCTTTCGCTTACATTGAAAAATACGAAAGTGTCTTATAAAATATAAAATATACCATTTAAATTGAAATTATTTTTACTATTATTGCACAAAGTGGAAGTATAATATCAGAAAATGATAATATTTACTTTCAAAGATAATCATTATGATGATTAAATCGCCATTTATTTTGCATAATCTATATACACAAGTTATAAACAGAGATCTTCCTTTTGCTCGCATTGAAAAATACGAAAGTGGTGCAATTAATTTGTATACGTACAATATCAGAAGTCAATTATATTTATTTTCAAAAATAATCATTATGATGATTTAACCGCCCTTTATTTGCATTACACAAGTTAACAGATCTTCCTTTCCCTCACATTGAAAAATACGAAAGTGACTTCAAAAATGTCAAATATAGCGCTGAAAGACGCATGTTTTCAGAAATGAATAAAATATATTAAAAAAAAAAAATCATTATGATGATTTAATATCCATGTATTTTCATAATTGCTGTATACCTGTTCTGATATCTTACTTTTGCCCACATTGAACAATACGAAAGTGACTTAAAGTCGGACGAAAGTCAATGTCAATATTCACGATATTAATGTTTTTTATAATAAAAAAATAAATGAGTCATTTTCATTATTATTCATGTTTTCATGGTGATTGACCTATAATTGATGATGAAAATGACTAGCACAAAATATAAAAAAAAATCCTAACTTATAAAAAGATTGAACTTTACCGATATATATATAGTACGATATTTATAGAAAATTCTGTGGATTACTTATTTCCTTTTTTCATAGTGAAATATTATTTTAACATAATGATGGGAAATTCCAAATTATTTTTCAAATTAACATGTACATTGCTCATCTACACCTGAATGAGCATAATAACTGCCACTTTAATCCGTGCAAGATATCTATGGTGGTGCAGAAGAAAGGTTAATTCAATTGTCCACTCAATAAACAACAGGGCAAGTGTCATCAGTTACATACCTATGATTGGATTATAATAATACTTTAATGGGATTAAAGCGTCATGCGTCACCGTCGTGTGTACTATCAATTAAAGTGGGTGCGAAAATGATATGACAACACGTGTTTGCATGTAAACATATTCATACTTTATTTTGTCTCATTCGTATACATGCATTTTCAAACATATATACAACTATTCACATAAAACTTACATAAGACCATTCCATTTAAGAATTTCAAGAGACATTATAGAAACACAGTCAAGACCTATTAATGTTAGATTATAATCAAACAGTATATAATTACAATGTAATATATAAACAGAATATTAAATGTTAGGTAACACCATCGTTAATCAAAAATTAAAAACTGCCCGAAAAAGACGATGTAAGAAATTGAGAACTGTAAAAAAAAATAATAGTTACTATAGCTTATAACATACGTCTACAAACTGCAATATTATCATGAAATTCTATTTCAACGCTATATTTATGCCCCCACAATGTGGGAGCATATAGCGTTGCACTTGTCCGTCCGTCCGTCAATACGTCAGTCCGTCCGTCAGTCCGTCCGTCCGTACGTCCCGAAATCTTGTGAACGCAACTCCTCTAAAACCGGATGGCAGATTTTGCTTAAACTTACAGGGATGAACAACCTTAATGTGTAGATGGTAGTAAAGGAAGGAATTTTTGCTGCGACCAAATTTAACAGAATTATGGCCCTTTGTTGATTTTTTCACTAGATACTATGTAGAAATTTTGTGAACGCAACTCCTCTTAAACTGGATGGCAGAATTTGCTTAAACTTACAGGGATGAACAACCTTCATGTGTAGATGGTAGTAAAGGAAGGATTTTTTGCTGCGACCAATTTTAACAGAATTATGGCCCTTTGTTGATTTTTTCACTATATACTATGTAGAAATTTTGTGAACGCAACTCCTCTTAAACCGGATGGCAGATTTTGCTTAAACTTACAGGGATGAACAACCTTCAGGTGTAGATGGTAGTAAAGGAAGGAATTTTCGCTGCGACCAAATTTTACAGATTTATGGCCCTTTGTTGATTTTTTCACTATATACTATGTAGAAATTTTGTGAATGCAACTCCTCTTAAACCGGATAGCAGATTTTGCTTAAACTTCCAGGAATGAACAACCTTAATGTGTAGATGGTAATAAAGAAAGGAATTTTTGCTGCAACCAAATTTAACAGAATTATGGCCCTTTTTTGATTTTTTCATTATATACTATGTTGAAATTTTGTGAATGCAACTCCTCTTAAACCGGATGGCAGATTTTGCTTAAACTTCCAGGGATTAACAACCTTAATGTGTAGATGGTAGTAAAGGAAAGAATTTTTTGCTGCGACTAAATTTAACAGAATTATGGCCCTTTGTTGTTTTTTAGTTTTCAACTTGTGGCACATGTAGTCCAAAAAATATTTGACCTAGAGTCATAAGATTGACAGAACAGTGGCGTGTGGGGGCATCCGTGTCCTATGGACACATTTCTAGTTGATATTCTGTAAGTCACTTTCGTCAGGCTCACAGTAAGCGAAAGGAAGATCAATGTCTGAGCTTGTGTATAAATATTATGCTAATAAATGAAGATCATATTGATTAAAGATACTAGTTTTGATAATATACGTCTACAAACTGCATTATTAATATTAAGTGCAATTAAAACGCTATATTTGATATTTTTAAAATCACTTTCGCTTATCATTGAAAATACGAAAGTGAGCGAAAACAAGATCTCTGAAATTGCTATCTAGAAATAATGAAAATGCATGAATATTAAAACCTCATAATGATTTTTAAGTATTTTTTATTCATTTTTGAAACTATGTGTCTACAAACTGTTGTATTAATATAAATTCAAAATAAACTGTATAGTGAATGTTTTATAAGTCACTTTCGTATTTTTCAATGTGAGCGAAAGAAAGATCTAGATGTAGTTGTGTATATAAATTATGCAAATAAATAGCGATTAAATCATCATATATATAATGATTATTTTTGAAAATGAATATTATCAATTTCTGATAGTATACGTCTACTTAGAGAAATTTTAGTAAAAAATCAACTTAACCAGTATATTTAATATTTCATATGTCATTTTAGTATTTTTCAATGTGAGCGAAAGGAAGATTTCTGAACTAGTGTATAGAAATTATGCAAATAAATGGCGATTAAATCATCATAATGATAATTTTTAAAAATAGATATTATCGATCAAATTCCAAAACTATACGTCTACAATCTTTTATAATTATATAGATTCAAATCAATCGCTATATTTGATATTTTGAAGTCACTTTCGTATTTTTTTCAATCTGAGCGAAGGAAGATATCTGAACTTGTGTCTAAAAATAATGCAAATAAATAGCGATTAAATCATCATAATGATTATTTTAAAAATAGGTATCATCAAGTTCTGATAATATACATCTACAAATTGTAATTTTAGTAAAAATTTCAATTAAAACAGAATATTTAATATTTTATAAGTCACTTTCGTATTTTTCAATGTGAGCGAAAGGAAAATATAAGAACTTGTGTATAGAAATTATGCAAATTAGTAGCGATTAAATCATCATTATGATTATTTCTGTTAATAAATTTCTGTATTGCCAAAGGCAGATATCTGCCGAATTGCAAATAAAATTTTGACTTTGACTTTGAATAAATATAATTATTTTCTAATAATATACGTCTACAAACTGCAAGTTTGTTTTAAAAGTCTATTAAAATGTTATAATTACTATTTTAAAAGTCACTTTCGCTCACTTTCGTCAAAAATCTCACTTTCGTATTTTAGGCATACCGGTGAAAACACGGAAAATATGATTCACGGCAGTGAAAAATAAATTTTTACTGTGAAAATACGGAAAATAAAAACACGCATTTTATTTGATCAATATTTCTCAATATTTCATTTATAAGTATGTTTATAAAGGAATTTTATTATCAAGCTATCGAAAAGGCGTGTTATCAGTATAAATGCTCGGGTAAGGTACGGATTTTAATCAAGTCAATAAAATCCCGAAGTACTTTCGCTTTCGGTTTAATAATAGTTGTTGACTAAGTATTCATATAATTTTACCCTTATAAGCTAATTCTTATTTCATTCTTTACGGAAAATGAATTTTTTCACTTTACCGAGGAAAAGGTGAAAAAGGTAAATTCAATTGAATGGAACGTTATGGCTGTTCTTTGATTACAACGGAGACTTACCACAAACGTAGATTAAGGAAAATAAAGTTGTGATGGCTGACCAGCTGAACGAGGATTCGAATAACACACATCAAAATCTGGTATTTTTTCATGATTATATCACAATTACATAATACATTTGTATATATATTAAATATATATAAATGTTTCATGCAGTGTAATGTCTATATATAGATACACCGAGCAAACGTAACTTAATTTCCTTTTCGCTTTTCCAGTAATTTTACAAATAATCTAGTCCAACTAACAAATAATCGCGGTTTTCTTTCAAGTAAAAATTAATTTACGAATAACTAAATTTATCAATTCTCCTTTTTTTATTTACTGGGTTGACCTAGTGCAAAGAAAGATATATAATCGTGCTCAAACAAATTTGTATCAAATTTGATTTTATAAAAAAACTTGTAATTTTTAAGAATAAAGTAAACATGTTGATTACGTACGGAGAAGATATTTTAAGATTGAAACTCAACACACTATATAGGTTAACACATTATATGAATACACAGTGTTATTAAAGACAACAAAAATCAAACAAAAACTGGCAGTTTTTTTATTAATGAAAGATCCAAAATAACTTGACAGATAAACTAGGGAATGCATATTCCCATAAAACGATTGTGCATTCAATTTAGACAAAACACGGACTTGAAAGTCCGTTGACAAATTTAAACTTGTTGACAAATTTAAACTTACTAAGAATTTCTCAGATTTCAATAAATTTCTACTATAAAAGTATTTTACCCAAGATAAGCATAATATATATTATGCTCATATTGGGTAAAATACTTTTAATACAATTTACCTATTTTTTTGAAAACATTCATCTCTTTTTCTTCTGTAAAATCATTGATGCATTATATATTTAATTTGAATATAACATTGATAAACATCTAAATCATCATATTATATATGGCTTTATTTCGAAAATTTACATGATTTAAATCAACATGCATTTTATTTTTATGATCTTTAAGTCGTTAGGAAGACAACAAACAGCGTCGACACATGATCAGATACGTCACCAATCACCCCATGGGGATGTTATTCAAGGAACGTTATTACGGAAATACTGCCGGGTTTGCAAAGACAACAAATGTAAGTTATATGAATACGTACAAAAATGCTTTTTACCTCTGTCTATGAAAAACTAAGTCGAAACCGATACAAATTTTAAACACGATAGAATATGACTGCATTCAAGGAAATAAAATGTACAAAATTTCACATATAATGTTAAGAGACAATGAACATATTATCGAAGTGTTTCGTTACTTCATATCAATACATTTCTAAGATTCTATTTGATAGATTTTCCGTAGAAATTCAGATATCACCTAAACACTTTATGATATTATTTATGTTTTAGGTAAATTGGATGGTTATAAAGTAGAAACATTACTCTATATTCCATTGGCTATACGGTACTGTCTCAAGCCTGGTGAAGAAGACACTAAATTTAACACTAATTTTGAGTGTAACCTACATGAATATAATGTATGGCAGTATTTGATGAATTCCCCTCGCCAATGTTCCAAATTAAGCACAGCCTTCTCAAATGGTAACCAAAGTGTTACAATTCTTCCTAGCTTCATGGTAGCCATAAATGTATCCGTCATTGACAAGGAACAAGCTAAAGAGATTACAGAACAAGTTCTGAAATATGTTTTCAACAAACTAGGCCAAATACTTGACGTGGAGGAAGTGAGTGTACTGGACGGCAACATTAAAGGCAGTGTGCAAAAGCTAAATGTAATATTTGACAAGGAGGTAGCGCATGCTTCAAAAATTGGAAAACGCATTTTTATTGTATACCCACATTCTGGAAAAGAATGCGTTGATAAATGTCTTCGAGAATACAAAGATGATTCACGGCAGATAATAGTGACGCAGACTTTTTGTCTAGACCGAGTCGTTAAAAGGTTCCCAACAGAGATTAATCGTTGCTTGAGTAATCCAAGTATATCATATACTGTTGAAAGTGTTGATAATCAGTCTGTTTACACGTTGTCAGGTCCTGAAAGCCTGGTTAAATCTGCTATTGGGAATCTTAGTTTAGTGAAAGAAAATCTTAAACAGAACGATCTTAAATATTTAACAAGGAGCAAAATAAATGGTTTGAAACATTTAAATGTTGAAGACGGTATAAATGCTCATCTCGAAACAAAATTTTCGAATATTGTTGTTGAGCAAAATAAGACAAGTTTGTGTGTTTACGGTCTAGAGTCAAACATGCTGTCAGATGCAGCAAACTTTGTAGAACAATTGATAGTAGACCGGGTTCAACAAATTGAGGGAAAAACTAGAAACCAGATAGAAAGTATAAAAAGACATTTACAGGGCAAATTTCAGGGAAAGATATTAGTAGATACAGATGAAGAATCCAGATTGTATTTATTTGGACTTAGACCAGATGTTGATGAGGCATGTTCTGAACTTCTAGAAATACAGGAAGTTAGAAAGTCAATGGGTTCCAGCACACATGACCGATATGACCCAAATAGAGATAAACATGACGAGAGTACCTGTCCAAGATTTTCCGAGAGATACGATATTCGAAAGAAAAAACACTTAGCATATTTCCAAAGATTCTTTGAAAAAATAGAAAACAATTACGAGGTCAATATTTCTATAAATCCGGAACAGTTTTCTTTAAAAATTAACGGTTCAGAAGAAGGTGTTAAATTGGCTGTAGAATATATACACAATACTGAACAAAAACTCATATTTGATAGTTTCGTTGTTTCAAAGAATACAGCCCTTCAATTTTTTGAATCAGAATCAAGCAAACACTTCCTTCGCAGTATTGAAGAGGAGTCAGATGTTTATCTTCAAAAACAAAGCGAAAGGATATTTGTCGGTGAGAAGTTGCAAGTGACAAAGACGGAACATAATAACAATAATAAATGGACTGTTTCTGATGGCAGATCTTTATTTGTGGAACAGAGTAACATTGAAGAAGCGATAGCCAGTGTCAAGGTTATACCATCTACAAGTGATATGAAAGCAGGTGAGTTATTTCCACATATAAAATTATATATTTTTAAACAGATACACAAAAGCCTGGAAAAACACTCAACAAAGATGAAAATGTTGAAATGAGTCTGACATACTACCATTTTTGGAAACGTAGTTCATGCAAAAGATAGTTATATACACTTCAAAAGAGGAGTAAATAATTAAATATTAGGGTTTCTTGTGTGCTTTAGCATCAGTATTAGTGACAATTACTTAGGACTCGAAAGCCTTGTTCACTTCGTTATCATTAAGGTCATTTAATTAAGAGATCTATATATAGGTTCATTGACAGAATACCATTTAAGCTGGTGCTAGAGGACGCGAGAAATGTTGCATTTTCATTAAATATCACGAACAAACCGATTCTAAGATGTTCTACCATTTGGTTATCTTATTACCAAGAAGGGATGCACCATCTCCCACTCTAGAATTTTATACTCAAACAGCAGAGGTTAGGTACTTTGTGACAACAGTAAGATGTTACACCATCCTTCATCTCAGTGAGGGTAAATTTGTCTAGTCTATTATGTCTTTAATTCTAATACTTTCAGTATTGTGGATTGAATGGTATTCAATCCGGTGCTAGTGAGCGTGATAGATGTTACACCTTTCATTATCTCCCCTAGGCTTAACAGATTAAATTCAAACTGAACAAGTGTATTTAAACTACAGGGATTAATTTAAACTCTTTTTACCACTGCATGATCTCTCCTTTCCAGAGTTGTTTAACTGTTATCATATCTAAAGCATAAATTATTTTTATATCAAAGCAAATTGTGATACATATTACATTGTCTGTTTATACATTTCTTGTTACAATATGAAGGAGTGCCAATTGTCAAAGGCCAACATATTGTCGACTTGAGGTTGCCAGCTTGGATTGCCGGTTTACATTCCGAGTTTGAAGATTTAAAAAAAGAGCTGAAGCAAATATTTTATGAACTTGATAGAGCTAACGAAAACACAGTGCTGATATCATTAAAACCAACACCGGAATGGACATTTGATCAGTTGATGAATTGTACTGCTAAATTCGCTGTCGAATGGTTATTGACAAGTACTAGTGCAAAACCAACCAAAGTAATGTTGTGTCCAGATAAACGAGAATTTGCAGTCACAGATAAATTTGTGGATAAATGCGTTGCAAATTTCATATCAGGTATAGAGAGTTCATCATCTTCGTTCACAAATTAATATATTGAACTATTTGTGTTCGTTTGTATGTGTGGTTTAAACAAAACATTGCTTTATTTTATTTATAGATATATATTTTATTTGTGGTACAATTAATGAATTATGTTTTTTGTGCCCCCACGTTAGTGGCGGGCATTTAGATTTACCCTTGTCCGTCCGTCCTTCCGTCCGTCCGTCTGTCCGTCCGTCCTTTCGTCCGTCCTTCCGTCCGTCCGTCCGTCCGTTCACTTTTGTGTCGCACGTAACTCAAGAAGTATTTGACCTAGAGTCATGAAACTTTACAGGAATGTTGATCAGCATGTGTAGTTGTGCACCTGGGTATTTTGGTCTGGATATTTTTAGTATTTTTAGAGTTATTGCCCTTGACTTAGTAAAATTTTGCAATTTTCAACTTGTGTCGCATGTAACTCCAAAAGTATTTGACCTACAGTCATGAAACTTTACAGGAATGTTGATCAGCATGTGTAGTTGTGCACCTGGGTATTTTCGTCTGGATATTTTTAGTATTTTCAGAGTTATTGCCCTTGACTTAGTAAAATTTGGCAATTTTCAACTTGTGTCGCATGTAACTCCAAAAGTATTTGACCTACAGTCATGAAACTTTACAGGAATGTTGATCAGCATGTGTAGTTGTGCACCTGGGTATTTTGGTCTGGATATTTTTAGTATTTTCAGAGTTATTGCCCTTGACTTAGTAAAATTTTGCAATGTTCAACTTGTGTCGCATGTAACTCAAAAAGTATTTGACCTAGAGTCATGAAACTTTACAGGAATGTTGATCAGCATGTGTAGTTGTGCACCTGGGTATTTTCGTCTGGATATATTTAGTATTTTCAGAGTTATTGCCCTTGACTTAGTAAAATTTGGCAATTTTCAACTTGTGTCGCATGTAACTCCAAAAGTATTTGACCTACAGTCATGAAACTTTACAGGAATGTTGATCAGCATGTGTTGTTGTGCACCTGGGTATTTTGGTCTGGATATTTTTAGTATTTTCAGAGTTATTGCCCTTGACTTAGTAAAATTTTGCAATGTTCAACTTGTGTCGCATGTAACTCAAAAAGTATTTGACCTAGAGTCATGAAACTTTACAGGAATGTTGATCAGCATGTGTAGTTGTGCACCTGGGTATTTTCGTCTGGATATATTTAGTATTTTCAGAGTTATTGCCCTTGACTTAGTAAAATTTTTGCAATTTTCAACTTGTGTCGCATGTAACTCAAAAAGTATTTGACCTAGAGTCATGAAACTTTACAGGTATGTTGATCAGCATGTGTAGTTGTGCACCTGGGTATTTTCGTGTGCATATTTTTAGTATTTTTAGAGTTATTGCCCTTGACTTAGTAAAATTTTGCAATTTTTAACTTGTGTCGCACATAACTCAAAAAGTATTTGACCTAGAGTCATGAAACTTTACAGGAATGTTGATCAGCATGTGTAGTTGTGCACCTGGGTATTTTCGTCTGGATATTTTTAGTATTTTCAGAGTTATTGCCCTTGACTTAGTAAAATTTTGCAATTTTCAACTTGTGTCGCACATAACTCAAAAAGTATTTGACCTAGAGTCATGAAACTTTACAGGAATGTTGATCAGCATGTGTAGTTGTGCACCTGGGTATTTTCATCTGGATATTTTTAGTATTTTCAGAGTTATTGCCCTTCACGTAGAAAATTTTTGCAATTTTCAACTTGTGTCGCAAGTTTCTCAAAAAGGATTTGACATAGTCAATAAACCTTATGGGCAGGTTGCTCAGCATATTTTAGATTTGCACCTGGGGTTTGGCTTGTGGATTTATCCAGTATTTGTAGAGTTATTTCCTTTGACTTAGTAAAAAGATTGACAGAACAGTGTCGCGGTGGGGGCACCCGTGTCCTATGGACACATTTCTAGTCTTCATATCTAAATTATAGAGTCTTGGACATTCCATTTTAAGTAGGTTATAAAATGTTGTACATCTAGAATGGTTATACATTTTATTGATAATTGTAAATTTTGCAAAGAATTGCCGCAATAGCTCAGTAGATAGGACACTAAGCTTAAAATAAACATACTTTATGGCTTCCAATCTAACATTTTTTCCCAGTATTATTCATACTATGAAGAGCCAATATAATTTATAATGTGGTTATTTGATTTTATTTAAAAAAAATTATGTTATTTTTTTCCCTAAATTTAGGGACAAGATGACCACATACATTAATATGCATTGAATTTTTTATTCAAGCCACCCAGAATAAAGATGAGCTGACTGTAACAGTTTGTCAAGGAAAGCTAGACAAGACAAAGGCAAGTTGCTTTAGAATATTGCTTTGCATGTTGGTAAAAAGCCCACGTTAAAGCCACATTATACCTTAGAAATATAATTTGTCAATTCTTTAGAAATGTCAAACATTTGTTAAAATGTTTGAATTATGGATTTAGAGCATGTTACATATTCAAAAACGGGAGACAGTAGCGCTGAATGTGCATTAATGTGTCATAAAGGTAGCAAAAAGTAACCAAAGAAGTATTTTGACTTCCATACACTGTATTTTTACCAATTGCTAATATAGCAACAGAAGGAAATGATAGTTCATGTATATGGCAAGTGAGTAATATTTTGGAAAGTATCACAAGATACCAAAATAAAAGTATTTGAGAAATAAAAAAGAAAAGAAAATTCATTTCAGGGAGATATTTGTAATGTTTTAAAGAAACTGCGATGTGCTGGTTGAATGTAAGATAGAAGTTCCTTAAGGCCCTGTCACACTAGACTGCGCTTTCACTGCGTTTGCACGGCGTTGTGAAATTCAACAAAGCGCCGCGAGATCGCAAGAAAAATCTGATATTTTTTATGATATGGAGACTTCATGGCGTCTTTATGGCGTCCTCACGGCGATAATGGCGTTGTTACGGAGCTTCCACGGTATTGTAGTGCGTTCTTACAGCGTTTTAATCGGCGATTGTCTGCGTTCGGACTGACCTTCTACTGCGTTCTTTGCGCTTACACGGCGCTCACACAGCGCTCTCGCAGCGCTCACACGTGTGTGTGTGTGTATTTGCGTTTATTTATACTCGCCACCGGTTGCCCATATGGGCGAGTCCTCCAGAAGAGTATTAGTAATTTTATTTTTTTGGAGGATAGTGCAATTACAGATACAGAAAGATGCCCCAATTCCAGAAGCTTCTCCTGGTTCTTTAGCGTGCCAAGTGTTTAAGCACCCATACACGGGACCTCGATTTAAAGTCTCATCCGAAAGACTGATTAGTAATTTTAGTTGGCCAGCCCGGGAATCGAACCCACAATGTCGAGATTACAAGTCTCGCGCTCTAACCGATTGAGCTATGCGGGCTGGCTTAGCGCTCACACTGCGCTGAAATCGTGCTATATATACCAGCGGCTCACGTCTGAATAGTCATGCACTTCCTGCACCTGCATTTAAGCAAACAATATTCCAGCTTGCTGCCGTTCATCATGCATGGTTTATAGGACATTTACTTGCAAACACTTATTATATATACTGTAGAATCCCTACTTAGGACCACCCCGGAATTATGACCACCACTGTATTAAGACCATTTTTTAAAAGAACGGAATTTTCTGTTCTTTATGTTAATGATAACATGATCCACAATTAAGACCACCTCAATTATCAATCACCTCAATTATATACAATGATTCAAATAGGGTGGTCATGAAATAAATTTATGCCTTGATAAATAATATTCACAATTAAGACCATTCCGCAATTAAGACCGCTTCAGTCAAGTCCCCCTGGTGGTCTTAATAGAGGGTTTTCACTGTACTGTGAAAACCCTGTATTAAGACCACCAAAGGGACTGAACTTAAACGGTCTTAATTGCGGGTGGTCTTAATTGGTGATATAATTATCAAGGCATATGCATTTCATGACCACTCTTTTTTAATTATTATGCATTAACATGTTTAAGCAATCATATTATGACATTCAAATATTACTATAAACTGATGTTATAATATTTAATCATATTTAGTACATAAGTCTGAAGATATTTAATATAAAAAGATTATTTTTTTCATAGGTCTTGCTTCATGTACGTAATTCACCTATTAATTAAGAAATTAATTCCTCGCAAAATAAATGTGCAGAAAGTATCATTAAACCACTCGGAAGTTTATTTTCTCACCTTTATACAATTTTCCAATCATAACAGTTTTAACACATTGTTTCAGCAAGTGCCATGCTTTATAGAATTCAAGCAGATGAATAGATCTGAATAGGTATTGACTAGAATAACAGTTGTCTCAATAGTGGGGTAAGATAAATAAAACAATGAATTTGGACTAAAACTGATGATCTTAAAAGTGGATAAGTGGGGTTGTTTTAATTGTGGATCATGTAAGCATTAACATAAAGAACAGAACATTTCGTTCTTTTAAAAATTAATCTTTATAGAGGTGTGGTCTGAAATCCAGGGTGGTTGGTCGGTCTTGAGTAGGGATTCTACTGAACTGTATTCTGTAATTTCAAATGAACGCAGTAGAATTGCCTTGAGAGCGCAATGGTCGCCGTGACAGTGCCGTGAAGTCGCAGTAAAAGCGATTTAGAAAATTAAACCTCCGTAAAAGCGCAGTACACACGCAGACTAAGCGCGGAAGAGACGCCGCACAATCTCCGTACAAGCGCCGTGGCTAACCACGGCGTTCCTTCGGTGATCCTTCTGCAGTTTCACGGCGCTCCTGTTGCGTTGTAGGTTATGAAACTGAGTTGCTACGGCATTCTTACTGCGATCCCGCAGCGCTCTTATCAGAACGCCGAGTGACTGCGTTTGTTTTGAGCATGCTCAAAATGCGCGCCGTCGGTCGGCGTTCTATGCGATGCCACTATGATGCTGTGGCGATGTTGCAGCGATGTTTGCGATCTTGCTGCGCTCACCTCGACGAGCTGAATTTTCTTTGGACGCCGTGAGAACGCCGCTCTAGTGTGACAGGGGTTTTAAGGCCCTTTGCCTTCTCTTTATTATTTTTCACATATCACATAAACCTTTGAAAATATTAACGACCCCGGCTTCGTTGTCTGGGTAATAAGAAGCCCCAACTTAGCTCTGTGTCATTCAAAAACAAAGTAACCCATTTTTAACATAAAACGAAAAAAAAATCCGGCTTTTATTTCTTTTTCCATTCAGCATAGGACCTTATATCTACACTGCCTGTCACTAAAATACTTATGTTCTGTTCTGAAATTTATTTGAACTAAATAGCCACCATATCATGTTTGCTTTATTTCATATCATTCAATCCTCCTAAAAATTTGACTAAATTTCTAACAAATGATTTGAAATGCTTCCTTACCATTTGAACGTAGCCAGTGCCTTTCATTATCACTCTCATCTTGAAATATTTCTTTAGCTAGTGTTTGCTCATTGAAGCCTTTTCCTGTTTTGGCCATTTTGTGACAACATATACACTAACTTAAAACAGAACTACTGGTTCCTGATACGCGATACAAAAAGTGTTTACTAGTTGATTTTGGTTAGGTTAGTTCGCTTGCTTTTTTCTTAATTTGTTACTCCGGAGGATCGCGAACCAAACTAAGTTATAGACATTTTTTTTTTTGAAGAGTACTTATGTTCAAATAGTTCATTTTTGAAAATGTTTAAGATGAATAACCTATGGCATGAGACCTAACATATATAATTAAGGATGTCATGTATGTACTCATTTGAAACGTATTATTCTCACACTTAAAAAAGAGATCAAACAACTGTAAATTAAACAAAACACAAAACACTGTCCAACCAGTGTATAATATATTATCCTAATGTAGAACTGAATATTTTGTCCATGATTAATATTTGTGATGCTGAAAGTTCGTGTTTCAATGAATTGCAGCGAGATTTGTTTCAATATAATAATTATCGCCAAAATTCGCTTGTTTTGGTACAATGTTTACATATTTAATAGCTAGCACTTACCTAGATATGAACAAAGGTGGGGTACCCGTATCTGTTTTTTCTTATTTGTGTGAGTTCCGTGTGCTTATAAAATAATTATGGTATCCTTATATTTAATTGAAACTTTAAGTAGACTTCTAAAAAGCTATATAAATCATGCCTTTAGCGAATATTGTCTTGACCAATATGTGGCTTAAATGTGCACACAACTGAAGCAGTAGGACAAAAATTGTATATAATTAGCCATGCTTCTTAAATTCATTCTCTTTATTTGTCAAGCACTTGCAAAACAGTTTTATTTAGTTATATACATTTACTTATATATCACGCTTTATGTTAATGCTGTATTATTTTTGACATTTCAATATGTAAAAACTCGACATTCACACTTATACGTAAGCAAACTAGGTTTTATTAAAAAATAATATATAGTATATGCATTATACGAAATGAATCGAGTCATTATCTTTAAAAGCCATAGTTTTTGGCAACTTTTCTCGCAATCTTTGTTAACTGGAGGAGATCTTTATGCAGTAATATGGCCTATTGATGAGACAGATATGTTTTCATGTTATATGAGTATTCGAGGTCGCACAAATTATAAAATACATGTATTCAGACACTGACATTATTTATATCCAAACATGTAATTATACTGACAATCTAGCTAATTGTTCTTAACAATACGTATAACAGTTGTGAAAAAATACGCACATCAACACCTTACAGATTCTATTAACAGGTTGATGTACTGGTAAACACAACATCTGCTAATTTGGACCTTTCTAAAGGTAATGTTTCAGCAGCTCTTTTGAAGACGGCCGGGCCTGGGCTTCAGAAAGAATGTAACAAGAAATATGGACAGGGTTTACGGCATCGGGAAATTGCAGTAACCAGAGGATATGGTACAGGATGTAGGAAAATATACCATATGGCACTGCTACCGTATTCAACAAAGGACAGTATAAGGGTCGTATTTTTGTGTTTTATTCTTATTTAATTCATTCTATTCATTGTCCATCTATTTTTTAAATTATAAATGTAAAACTACATACTTTATCAATTACATTGTAATATATTGGCGGAGTTTGAATCATTTTCAGTTTTCTGTATGAGTTTCGCAGTGCTTTGCAATATGAGCCAATAGAAAGTATTCTAAGGAAATAATCTGTGTTCATATAATATTACAAAGAAACAAAGCATACCTCCAGATCTTATTTGTATGAAGATATTAAATACTGTGTCGATCAGTAAAACCGTCGAAAAACGTAACAATTTAGCTATTGACCTTATAAACCTCTAAATCAAAATGTTTAAGTAAAACAATTCACTTTGTTAATTAGCAAACATATCATTTTTGGAAATTGAAATATTTGAAATTATTTCTACAGAACATAAGAATACATATGATTGGCTGTTTGCAATTAGCTTCAGACAACGGACATACATCAATCGCCTTTCCGGCAATGGGAACGGGCTCATTAGGTTATCCAGCGGAACTCGTTGCTTCAGAAATGTTCGGATGTGTAGAGAGATTTAAACGTGACCGCCCACAAACAACACTGAAAATGATCAAGTTCGTTATTTACGACAAGGATATAGAACTTTTTCAGGTTGGTAACTTAAGATTCAGTAGGAAAATTTGATTTTAATGACAATATTATTTTCTATGATAAAACGCAAAATAAGTTACCCTTTATTTCATGATACTGTTATACATGTACAATTTATGTTTTCATTAGCTTGTATTACCTTTTCTTGCAAATTGGGCTTTTATACAAAATAACTTGTCAGAAATTTTAGCGAATTATAACATTTTAACCTTTTACCCCATGAGCATATTGCGAAAAATGGCCGTTTTCATTGAAAAGTCTCGTATAACAAGTTCAAACTGCTATGAAACTATGAAAAAAATGCTTCAATACTGATGAAACTTGGCACATATATGTTGACTACACAATACGCTCAATCGTAAATTTCCTGTAACCATGGCAACGGGGGGACGTCTCAAAATTGCCAAAAATCACTATTTTGCATTGTTTTTTTTCCATCAAAACTGATTTCAAAGTGCTGCAACTTCTCAGCGTCGGTTACTAGTTACCCTAAGATCGACCTGAGGCCATTTTTAGCCTGTAACATGTCCAAAATTTTCTTGGCGATGAGGGGGACTACCGCCCCCTTCAGACCCCCAAAACAAACAAACAAATGGCAACCCCCTGATGTAACAATTTGATGGGGGCGGCGCCGAAAAAGTGGTCACTTTTTTAACAACATTTCTCAAAAGAAAAACAGTGTTTGGGGCCTGAATAGGGCATGTTTTCACTGTTTTGGGCCTCAAAGGGGGGGGGGGCAAAACCCCGTCAAAACACGTCTATATGAGGGAAAAGGTTAACATAGCTCAGTAGCAAAATTGGATCAGCTTGTGTGTCCAGTTGTCCAACAGTCAATCGGCATGCTTTCCTTCTCTCTGTCACTGCAGACACGATTTTTATGTCCTTGGAATAGTTGCGCATAATTTGAATTGGAATCTTTTTTTTCTTAAGAAATATTGTCATGAAACGAAACATGATAGACAGGGAGCCGTGAATGTCCAGGGCCCATTTTCGAGCCATTCTTTATCGTGTTCCTTCATTATAAATTTAAATTAACCAATCAGGAAAAAGTATTTTGAAACCATAATATATGGGATGAATGTGGATACATTTACTAGTATTCTATAACTCGACATATTGTTTTATGGCCTTTATCTTATGACCATCAAGGAACACGAGGTACGACTGTGTAAATACATGCATGTATACCACACGAGCTATGTTTCGTCTAGGATCGTGTATAAGTACATTATCCAGATTCTTATCATTTTGCTTTCAAAAGTCACAGCTCATTAGCCATTTGAAGGCGATAACAACAAAAATAAATCACGTATCTATTGTTTATTTATGACACTTTCTTTACGAAAGTTACTCCTTTTAAAGTCTGTCTTTAAACATTTCAGTATTTCAAGCAAATCGAAATGTCAGGTAAGCTTTATTCATTTATACTTGTATCAACTAATTCTAAACAGGAATATTCTGTGACCGCAAACGTAAACCCGCATATTTTAATGTTTCAAAATTCATTAATAGTATTTTTGGCAATATTGAAATATCGTAAAAGTAGAAAATACGGTAACGTATTTTTTTTCAATTTTCCTAATTATTCCTGTAATTGGGTTTGTTTCGATCCATATGATGTACATGAAATGTATTGATCATTATTTGTTGCACTCCTTATTTATGTTGGTTTAACTTTTAATAAAATGAAATATTTAAGAGAAACCCAATAAAATACAATAACATATTGTCAAATTCTATTTAAGTTGTTGCCAACCTTTATTAATTTCTTAACAAACCCTGTTTATTATCTAAATTAGGTAGAAGCTGCAGTCAAGTTAGAATAGAAATGGTTGGCACAGAAAAAAGTATAAACATGTCAAAAGAACATTTGGATGCAAAAGTTCATGAATTGCTGAAATTGCCTGTCACAGATCAATCAAATATTTCCAGTGCAAGTTATGTAAGTCCTAAGCCAGTAGATGAAAATGATCTTGCATGTGGAGGCCTCACACCAACAGAAAATAATTTCAGCAAAGACAATACACATTCTTCTGCATTGAAAACCCCGCCTGAAGAAAGTAAGGAAGAAAACGGACGCAGATCATCAAAAGACTGTCACCGGAAGCAAAGAATGTATGATAGAACATTCTCATTGACCAAGGATGCTGAATATTTGAAAGTCTTCGAGATTGATGACTGTATGTTGCGAGTATACAAGGGTGATATATTGAATGTCCCAATCGATTGTATGGTAATTGCAAAAGAAGGGAATCAACAACATTACGTTGATAATATCGCAGCCACTGACGTACAAGTGGTAGGAGAGGCATGCTGTTTGAATCGAAAAAAGGGTGATTAACATGTTGTATTATTATTATTATTATTATTATTATTATTATTATAAATAAACTTTGCAAATTTCATGACTTCTACTTTTCATAATATGTTTTATTAATTAACAATTAGTAATAGTACGAACTGGAAAATTAACTGATTTCTCTCAAAGAAAATAACACGGTTTACGTTGAAATAAATTAAAGAAAGAGCTAAGGTGATGTTAAGTATCTAACTTTTGTTTATGTTATTTGGAAAAGTATACCTTTTGTAAAGTAAAGCAATTTAAAAATGCAATCATACCACTAGTACCCGGGATTTGAGTAATAAACTGTGGTGTTGATATGCTATTTTCTAAAATTGACAATTGTAACTTCCGCAGAACAAATTGGTACCTGCGTCATACAGGCTGTTTTCCCAAGCTGGTTCAACTATAAACCAATGACAAGATCGAACTTCACAAAATGTGCTGACGATCTTAGGAAGACAACGCTCAATTGCTTACAACTAGCCGAAAATGAGAATTGCACTTGTATTGCATTTTCATCTTTAAATTCAGGTACTTACATGCTATTTTTTTATCATATACATAATTTTCAAATGAATTTTCAATTGTATTGATATTTTTTATCAAGCGATTAAAATAGTAAAACTTATCTGTTAGACCCTTTTATCTTAGGAAAGTTTGATGTTCCTCAAGAGGTTTGTGCTGTTCAGTATGCAGAGGCTATAAAGATGTTCACAAAGGAAAGAAGAAGCAAAAACGTAAAGGAAATTCATTTTATTGACCAGAATCGAAACATGGTTGAGATAATTCAAAAGACTTTTCAGGACGTAATTCATGATGGGAAGCATTCGCCTTATAACATGAATTTATATATTGAAAGATCTTCTGTGGACAAAAGTGGTGGTGCATCAGTAACAGACAATGATATGAAATCGCCAACAAGAAATACAGTTTTGAAAACGTCGATATATATTCCGTCCCAGCAGAACTTGTCAAAGAAAGATTTCGCTGAATATGACAAACAAGTCTCATACATACAAGATCGTAAAACATTAAAATGCTTCTTTCCACCTGGAAATGTGGTTGAAGTATATGATGCAGACATATTGAGTTTATCTGATGTTGAAGCAATAGTTTGTAGCGAAAATAAACAAGGGGAAGCAAAAGGTATGATTGCTCAAGCATTGTTAAAAGTAGGGGGAGATCCTTACAGTTATGCAAAGATGAAAGAGTTTTATAAGTATAAAAATTCTGGCGATATAATCACGACACAAGGCGGAAAATGTGGATTTCAGTGGGTAATGCACGCCATTATTTCCAGAAAATGCAAACAAAATGTTGTTCCGATCGTTTACAGGAATGTTTTACTAGAAACAAGGAGGAAAAATATCTCTTCATTGGCGTTACCAATATTGGGAACAGGTATATCATATTTAATTGTTGATTTAATAATCATAAATAATTATAATTAATAATTATAATGTAAGCATTTACTGTACAAGATTTTACTAACTTTTTCTTGACTTTCCTCCAATGTGTAGCAGTTAACTAAAGTAATGTACTGAAAAGCTAAAAGCAATATTTTTATGATATTCATTTTTGATGTTTTTTTTCAATTGCAAAATTGAGTTTTTCCTTTCTGACATGATTTGAAAAATGGAAAATAGCAATATGTACTGTCGAAATATCGATAAGTTTGAAAGATACTCTTCATTTTCTATTTAGGTTGTGAAGATATGGACGTAATAGACAGCGCAAGGTTATTGCTCTCTGAGTTGATTCAGTTTTTCAACGATAGTAAGAATAGACAATTCACTCTCCATGTCCATTTAGTTCTAAATGATAAAGATATAGCGAGCTCAGTTAAAGATGTTTTCAAAGCACATATAACCAAAATTAAAGAGTCTCATAAAAGTGAAGTTGAACCACGAACTGGACAAATTTCTGTAGACATGGGGCATGAAAGTCATTCTAAAGAAAACGAAACAGGAGACATAAAAGATGACGTGAAAACGAAATCCGATTTCTCAACAGTTGATGTAAGTTTGTTTTTTACAAACAGTATAAAACTATAAAAATGTAAATGATCATGTATACCTATATTTGGTACATTCAATCACTTTCTTTGATTATTATACATTACAGTATGTAATGCTTAACTACTTGCTGTTAATAAATCAGATAAATTTAGCCTTTGATTGATCATTACGCACTTCAATAATATGTACCATCTTTTCTTAACCCTTTTTTACTATAAAGATTTTGCCATAACAAAGTTTAACTTTAAAGTTTACTTTTTAGCTTAGATACAATTTATAAGATTTATTCTTAACATTAATTACGATGCAGTCAGCTACCAAAGACGAAGAAGTCCCACAAGACTGTGTTATATGCATGGACAACATAACAAAGCCTATGAAGTTAATCTGTGGACATACCTTTTGCTCAGAATGTATTGAAGGATATTTTCGGGTAAATTCATTTATCATGAAATATTTTATAAGATATATAACGTAAATTAAAGCACTTTAGAGAAACATTTAGGCTTATGATGTAATAGTATTTTAAACAAAATTTGCCAAGTTAATTTTCATATTGTTTTTTTTCGGAATAATAATTATTTTTTCTTACCAAACAATATTTGTTGGATGTAGCGGCGAAGTTATGAAAGAAGAAGTCTGATATTTGATTTTAAGGCAAACAAAATATTGTACCATTAATTTTTTTTTATCATTTATGCATTTACTAATTATAAGGTAAGGAAGGTTTGTCCAACATGTGGCAAAGTATGCGGGATTATCACTGGTGACCAACCTGAAGGAATGATGGACATCATAAAAAGACGCGAACATTTGGAAGGTTATAAAAGATACAAAACCATTGCCATTACTTACAGTTTTGCATCTGGAAAACAAGGGGTTTGTGTATATTATCTTTCTTTCTTACTTGAATTTAACACCTTTATAAACAATACATGTGTGTTTTTTTTCAAATACAAATTAAAATCATGCGTGCGCAAGAATGAAAGTATGTATGTATGTTCCTTGATGTCATAACATTCGATAAATCGGTAACTGTGTAGCGAAGCGAAGGGAGGCGACTGCGTCGGAGTTTGATCTCCCCCTTATCAGTACAGAGATCTCTGCCATCATCAATATTTTGATATTTATATTTTTTTAGCTTTTTAATTTATTTTTCATTATTTTGTATATTTTTGATAATTTTTTGATAAAATATAACGGACGTAGGTACAAAAAGTTAAAAATAAAACAGAAAGAGAAAAATGACGTTAGATTTTCTATGTAACATTTGAATTTCGACGTTACGTCATGTGACTTTCATCATCATGTGACGTCTGTGAAGGCAGTGTTTACAATTCTGCCAAGGGAGGTAATCACTGTGAGGAGTTTGGTTTGATTATACATGTGATGTAACCACTTAATTAAATGCGACGCACTGAAAATAAGTACTGAAACAAATCAGATGCAATTTAGTTTAATATCAGGAAGATCTACGGCAACATTTATTTGTTGATGTCGTGTTAGAATCGAAGTAATTTATCCAAATCGGTGATTTTATCGCTTGATAACATCACTGTTTGTCGTTCGGATGCGCATCATTATTTCACTCGGGCTACGCCCTCGTGATATAATTCCTCGCATCCGAGCTCCAAACAGTGATGTTGTTGAGAGATAAAATCACTGTCTGGGATATATTATTTATTAAATAACCAGATAATGGGCGTGTTTGCGTGATCTCCTTTTTCTCCGTTAATGTATACCTGCATGCGCAGTTTTCATGTAAATATCGGTGATCAATGCTTATAATTTATACAAAGTGCATATTTTAGGTCTTTTTAGTGCAATAAATACATCTTAAAAACGAACGTATTAATCTGAATGATCAATGCATAAATTGTTTGCGGATAAAGTCTGGTATAAAATAAAACTCCTGGAAAGCGTTTGTTTACGCTAAACTTGTGTTTTATTTACATTAATGTTGATGGCTTTAATTATTGAAGTTAATTGTAATTTTATAATATATTCTAGACAGACCACCCAAACCCAGGTACTCCTTATAAAGCTATCACTAGGACAGCATTCTTACCTGACAACATGGAAGGCAGAGAGATATGTGCACTTTTGAAGGTGGCCTTTGAGAGGCGTTTAGTTTTTACAATTGGAACATCAAGAACAACTGGGAAAGAGGGAGTTATAACATGGAACGATATACATCACAAAACGGACTTCAGACCACACACACAGTAAGGTTTCAGGCCGATTCGATATTATTTTTATCTTGGATATTAAACAGATGTGATTGAATATCAAAACCTTTATATAAATCTTGCAATTGATCACTTTAATACAAAGTTCTTTGATAAATATGACGATGACGATTCACTTATGTGTGTTGATATAGTTCTGTCTTAGAGGGATGAGACCTTCCCTCGTGCCTAAGATTTGACATATGAATTTTTTCTGCCTCGCCATCCAAGTACATGTAATGATTTTTACTTAAGGTTTGGTTACCCAGATGGTACTTACCTTCAAAGAGTACGTGAGGAACTTGAAGTGAAAGGTGTCACCATGCCGGATATTGACAAGGACTTCATTAGGAAGCTTGATAAAGATAATTTTAGACAGATCATCAAATAGAGGAGTGACATTGTTATTAGTAAATACGGAAATGTTGAATGGATCTTGTGTTGTTATAGACTTTTTTGGATTCATTAAAGTATAGTCATTTAAAAATAAATTGAAGAGGGAATTTTTAATCATATTCTTGTTTGACGTTGTTGACATGCAGTCACCTGAAAATGTATTACACAATAACATTTATACATATTTAAAACTATCAGGCTAGTTTCTTTGTGGCAAAGAAATTGGACTATAATAGAGATCATTGGAGCTACTTGAATGGCCCTGCTTTAACTTTGAAATTTCAATGTGTTTTAAATAACCCTCAAATAAAACAAAGTTGTAAGGGGTCATAGTTGAATCAGCTTATCCGTTTAGCCGTATGACAGTTGGGTTTTGTTTTTGCAGGTTATAACTCGAAAAATCTTAAGTTGTAGATATCAACTATAAATATATTTCATTCAGGAAAAGTGCAGTGCCTATAAAACCATAAGTCCCTTTTGCATAATTTTGGAGTTACATTTATTACATTTCGTTATTTTACATTTTTAAGTTTTTTTCCAAAAAATTACATAAAACATTTAGCACTTATATATTGTATGTTTGCTGTACATTTAGTGCTTGTAGACAATATATTATGTATAAGTCTTTAATAAAAGTATGTCTGTTCTGTTCTGTTTATAAGTTCCTTTTTTCAACTCCTTGTGCTCAGAAGAATAAGTTACACATCACATCACACTCAATATTTTAATAGTGTACCAGTCATTAGCACTTTTGAAAATCTTAGTAACATACAAGCAACATCAGCAGCTGCCTTTGAAATAACACGGGGTATAGATTGATTAATTTAATTTTATACATATTTACTGTATTCTTATATCTTTATGCATGTTTGTCATTGTAAGATAATTCTTATTTCTTAGTTATTTACTAGTATCAGGTATTTACAAGAATTGATATGCATATATAACATTATTTTATAGACATTTTCACATTTCCAAATACACAATTTAAGTACATAACATAAATGTAAATAAAATCGATTAAATAATTAAAAGAATAAGATTCGATACTTGCTGATCCTATGCAAACTTCACTTAAATAATGATTAATATAACAGAATATCTAGAAATAATAATTGCATAATCAAATATTTACACTATGTGCATGTGAGAAAAGCATAATAAAAAGTACCAATTTAGTTAATTTTAGTAATACATGTGTATTATGATAAGCATTCACAATGGTGGCAAAACAGAAGAAAAAAACCTATCTCATGACAGTCTTCTTAAGTTTGTGTTGAAAATGTTGCAATTTAATTTGCTTTTATAGATAGATAGATAGTATTTCTCAATTCATAACAGCATGGAGTTAAATATATGTTTATATATCTGTGATAACAGTGAAAAATAAATATTTACAAGCACATGCGCATAAATCATAAATGAACATAATTTACAAGCATTCAATTTGAACATAATTTACAAGAATTTCGAATAAATACATGTAATATGAAATATATATTATATAAACATTTTATAAGAAATACACGTATTTATATTACAATTAATTTGTGTAATACATTTACTTATACTAGTAAATATGGAAGTGGAAGGTAACATTTATAAGAAATGTATAAACTATATTACATGATATGCTTTATGTTTTTTTCTTTGTAGATAACTAGTCACCTGCATTTTAGAACTTTGCTACAGATTATTGACAAATTTGAATTTATATTTTTATAATGTAGTCAATCCTGCACATTTACAATGTTTTGTTTTCTGTAGCTTAATGAATTGAAAAAAATAAATTCGCTCTTATAGGCTGTCATTTATTTTCACAACATTTGTCTGCAATGATTCTCTTGAAATATCAACTGTTTCTTGAAAGAGCTTAATGCTTGTCAATGACTTGTATTGTGTATTTGTAATTATAATAAATAGCTTATTATAAGAGACGGATAGCCATGAGAAAATATTATAACCACGGGAATTTAAGTTCTAAGTGAACTGTTTGGCATCCATACATTTTCGGCTTCATTCCCCCAGCAATCTTGTCAGCTGTGTTATTTCTTTTGATCTCTGTTAAATACCTACATAATTAGACATATAGCGTATAAATAGTTACAAACATATAAATTGCATGGTCTGAAGTGTTTTATTTTTAGCATTATTTTCGTAACCTAAGTAAATTCTTAATTCATAAATTTATTTAACGTAGCAATAGGTGAAAATAAATGAGCCGCGTCACGACAAAACCAACATAGTGGCTTTGCGACCAGCATGGATCCAAACCAGCCTGCGCATTCGCGCAGTCTGATCAGGATCCATGCTGTTCGCTATCAGTTTCTCTATACTTGTTATAGAGTTTGTAAGCGAACAGCATGGATCCTGATCAGACTGCGCGGATGCGCAGGCTGGTCTGGATCCATGCTGGTTGCAAACCCATTGTTGGTTTTGTCGTGGCGCGGCTCATTTAAAAAATAACACATGTATTACTGTGTGAATAAAACATGTATATAAGAAAAATTAAGTATGCTTTATTCAACATTTATTTACAAATAATTTTATAGAAAAGAACATTATTATAACCTACCAAGTTCTCATAATTTTCGTTCGAGTCGAATTCGTCAGGTCCGGCAATAGTTTTTACACAGGTGTTATCATCACCTCCAATATGAGATGTTTCTTGTGTTCCATGGGTATTTTCAGTGCTAGGATGTGCTCTAACAGACACATAGCCAAGTGTATTGGTTGAATTTGGCTCAGATTTGTCTTCAATCAAACATAATACAAATTATTCAAACATACATATATTCTTACGTCAGAGCCGGATGAAATGCCATAAATTGAACATTTTCAGGATTTTTCAAATTTGTTATTTCTTCTCATCATTGCTTCACATTTCCCGAGAATTAGATCAGAATACTTAAAATTGTTTAATATGAAACTGATTTTTCTTGTATTACATATAATTTGTTTTTGCCCTACGCAGAAGGCGCTTTCAGATTAATTAGACAATTATTTAATTGTTATTAAGATATATATACACACCTTGTGTCATTTTTTGTTTTTCCATTCTATGTTCATCTTGTGAATTATAATCGTAGTAGTGTGATTCAGAATTAACTTTTTGTTCCCTGTCTGTATGTTTATGACTCTTGTCTTTCTTTCCACCTAGAAATTCAACAGAAGGTGATGGTTCTAGGATCCAGAATTGTGTAAAACATACAAGAGAACGCTGTATATGGTTTTACAGTTATTTTAAACATACATATATTTATTTTTAAATGCTTAACCGCGAAACAAGTTAATACAGCTTTAATTTACCACTTCCGACTTTATGGAACTAAGTGAACAAGCAATTCATATGAAATAAAAAGTGTTCTTGAGTTGATTTAGGCTCGAACCCACGAACGATGGGTTGAGTGGCAGACACCCTTATCATTACAACACTGTTCCATTTTCTTACAATTGTGGCAATGATTTTTAAATGTAACCGTTTCGCTGCCAGGTTAATGCATATGTGTCACCGAACACGTGTGGCATAGCCATAAGGTCCAATCCTGAGTAAATAAGAACAAGGTCCATTTATTCATATGTCTTTATTATGATGAACAATGACCACGGTCAATCTGAAATGAACATAAAACATATTAAAGATAAATGACTAAGCTAATGTTAATTGAACTATTGTATAAGTAAATGTTTACAATCCTCTACTGTGGACACTACATAGGTTAATAAATAACGAACTCAAGTCCTATTCATTGGAAATGGTATATCAAAAACCAAATTTGTTGGTACAACAACAACAAAAAAAATACACACCTATCGGCGCCATTTCAACTGGTTTCTGTCTTTGATTTCGTTGTGTATTAGGGGAATTTGCGTAAGCTTCAGGTATGTATTCAGCACCGTGTTTACTTGGCTTCTCTTGATCTCCTTAAACATGAATATATAAACTATTTAACATTTTCAGTTTATTTTACAATATTTCTTTGGTCCATTTCATAAAATTACTATGAAAAGTAACATAAATACTGCTATGGGGTAGTGACGCCTGATACCGAAATCAGACTAAATTTCTTGGTCAGACTTAGACTTGAAATAATTCCTATAGGTGAATGAATGCCAAAGTTATTGGTTTTGTTCACTAATTACAATATACTTTGCAAATCTTAAAACATCTAGCTGGTGTGTGATATAGGGTCACCAGGACACTTTATTAATAGTTAGAAGCACCACCACCCATATTTCTAACTCCATTGAAACACTATGTAAAAAATCTGGAAACAAAGTGACCCTCGGAAGCATTTATCACAACAACATTACAAGAGAATTGCAGACTCGGTTTGATTGGGTCTGTACATGAGGGGTAATGAATACGTGTAACATCCCTCACGCCCCCTAGCACAGGCTTGAGCGGTACTCAATTCTCAACACTTAATAGTGCTGGCATCAATGATCCCGAAGGAACAACACTGAAGTGAAGTACGGGGCAACTTTTTACAGCTGCCACACAGCACTTGACACCTGCTGTTGTGAAGTATAAAAATCTGGAAACAAAGTGATCCATCGGAAGCATTTATCACAACAACATTACAAGGGAATTGCAGACTCGGTTTGATTGAGTCTGTATATGAGGGATAATGAATACATGCAACATCCCTCACGTCCCCTAGCACCGGCTTGAGCGGTACTCAATTCTCAAAACCTAGATTTATACACTTTAGGTATTCTACAAACATTGAATAAATGAGGAAATTCTGAGCATATGAATAGGCAATATATATACATGTATGTTATATAACTAGATTAACCAGACTGTTTTATGAAGATTTAAATTACCAACACATAACCTCTGATCCCAAAATACAAATTTATTTAGTTCCACCTTTTGTTTTCTCGATTTTTTTATACTTGATGACCATATGCCGCTTTTTACGGAATGGCACGAACGTGTCACATTGAAGGTTCTGTGATAATCGCCGTATGAACACTTCTGTCGATGTTTCTTAATTCAAAAATTCAAAATTTCACTATTTTATGTTTAAATTTTGAATTCTGCTTAAGCCGGCGCTAAGAGGCATCAAACAATTTAATACTAAGGTCTTTTGAATATACATGTGATTCAATTTCCTCAAAAATTAGATTAAAATCCAAGTTAAATTCAAGTATTATTAATTTATAATATCTTTTAAAAATTTAAATTAAAGCATGATAATCTTCTGGATCAAAATTGTTTAATCAAAGTATTATTAATTCTTTCTCATCAAAAATGTGATTCTAAAACCAAGAAATGTAAAATTTCCTTTGTAAAAAAAGTAAATTTTAACAAGCGTTTTAACCTATACTCGTAAATCCTCTGAATCAGAATTTTTCATATTGGTACAAAAGGGAATAATTATAGAAGTCAACTTAACTAAAATTGAATGCTTTGACTTAATAATTTTATAAATAAATATTTATAATCAAAATCAAATGCTTACAAAAAACAATTAAAAGTGAGACAGGTTTCAAAGTTATATTCAATAATCAATGACCTACGATGGACATTCATCTACAAAAATTATATTTTTGCTGGGAAAAAATCCTGCACAAAAATGATAAAGCAATTATTATAAGGTATTGTGAGTTTTAATACTATCTTTTTTGGCAAAAAAAATCTTGAAAATAACCAAATCGAAATGTGTATGAGTTCTTTTATGACAGTTTAAAATACTCTTTTTAGTCACACATAATGATCTCTCAATAATGGGCATACCCTACCCAAATCATCTATGTCTTGAATTAAAATTTCATACAATTACCCCGTAAAATTAGTTTAAACTTTAATTTTTCATTGAATCCACACTGAAAGTAATATAAATTCTATAGTACTCGTAACAGGCCGGACAAAAAGTTTGTACGACCAGCAACTGTTGCTATGTGTATTACTTATCAGTGAATCTATTTTTAGAAAAATCATTATCAGTACATACCTCCTATATATGGAATGCCGGTAGGGACATGCCTGCTTATTTGCCAAGAACTGAATTGCTTATTTGCTAATTGCTGATTTGCCATTTTGGTTATTTGCTAATTGCTGATTTGCCAATTTGCTTATTTGCTAATTGCTGATTTGCCAATTTGCTTATTTGCCAATTGCTTATTTGCTTATATACATAAATTTGTATGCTATTGTCAGGCGACTCGTCCGACTCGCGAAGTTCTTGTTTGATATGACATAACAAGTCTTTGTAGACTTTATTTCAAGCTTATGAACCTATATCATGTTATTATGTTGATAAAGTTTTGTTAATTATAACTTGTGTAAATTATGATCAATCCATCATTACCTTGAATATAGGTAGACAGACAGATGGATACTTTTTATTCAATTTCGAAAAATATAAATTCAGTTTCAAAAAGTAGTTGTTTTTTAATTATCTTGAGTTTCAGTTTTAGCTCCACTATTCAGAGAATAGGGATGCTATTCTACCCACCAAGGCATTGGTTTTCTTGGTAACTTGTTTTTCTGTCATATCTCTGTTACTTTTGCTGATTTATGCTTACTGCAACTTTGCATAAACTTTGCATAATTACAAGCATGCATACATGAAGAAGCTGTCCCCGTTATATACTGAATGTCAAGGTCACCAATGAATTGTACTACGAAGCCTTTGTTTTTCTGTCATATCTCTGCTACTATTGCTTATATCTAACTGTAACTTCACATAAGCATTAGGTAGCATGCATACACAATATTCAATATTCCATTATACCCTAGGTCATGATCATGGTCATGGTCACCTGATAGCATGTAAAATGTTCAGCATGAAGAAATGGAAAAGTGTGACCAAATTTCAAAAACATTGAACAAAAGCAAAATGTTGATGGACACACAGACATAAGTGATCTCAAAATCTTACAGAGCTAAAAACGAAGCCTATTGCTTAAGTGCAAAGACAAACACCCGTGTTTAGCATGCACCAAGTGTATCATTCGTGATACTATGTGTTCCTACCACTAAAATGAAGCCCTCCGTGACAAATCTCCTGAGAATAACGACATTTTATATGCCATAAAATAAGAAATAGTTTTGTTTTCAAGTTCTTTTATTTTCAATCTTTATCCAATAATTTCCAATTATATATGACCAATCAAGTGTTTATTATGCCATCAATCTCTGACTTAAGCTGCACAAACAGATCTATCTATAGCTGCAACACAATACGTATAAACCATTCTCAAGCACAGACGCTGGGGGTAAGATCCTGCCCCCAACG